CAGGCTGGTTTCGAACCGTCCTGGACCTCCGAGCAACTCTGCCCGCTCGCCTCCCAGAGTGCTAGGATTACAGGCGTGAGCCCACCCGCCGCGCCCGGCCAAAAAAAAAAAAAAAAAACTAAACTAAAAAAGGCCCCCGTTTATTAAAGACTCTAATATTACACATGAGCTCCAGGGTCATGGGCTCCTGAACTTTGAAGACTTGCTTGGGAGACACTGGTCTGCTCCCCTGGTTAAGAACCCCTGCCTCAAAACCATGTGCCTCCAGATGTGCTAGCCTAGGGACATAACATCAGGTAGGTAATATTTGGCTGAGGATACATAACCTGAATCTAATTGGAAAAATCAAAAATGAAAGGAGAAATTTGTATTTTTTTAAAAAAAGAGGAAAACTGTGCTCTCCTAAAATGTCGATGTCATGAAAGTGAAGGACTAGGGAAATGCTCAAGATTAGAAGAAGCTAAAGAGCCATGACAACTCAGCGCAGTGCCTGGCCCCAGCCTACTGGAGCAGGGGAAATGCTTTTAATAGAAAGGACAGTATTGGCTCAACTGACCAAATGGGAAAATGGATGGTAGATTAGATAATCTACCATCCATTTATTAAAGTTGGTAACTGTACGGTTATATAAGAGAATATTCCTAGTCTTAAGAAAAATATACTGAAGTATTTAGGAATAAAAGGCCATACATATGCAATTAATCTTTAAATGGCTCAGAAAACAGATTTGTGTGTGTGTGTGTGTGTGTGTGTGTGTGTGTGTGTGTGTAGAAAGGGAAAGAGAATAAACAAATAGGGTAAAGGCTAACAGTTGATCAATCTGGGAAAAGGATATACTAGTGCCCTTTGTGCTATTTTTGCAACTTTTCTGTAAGTTTGCAATTATTCCAAGTAAAAAACTAAAAAAAAAAGCCCTCTCTTAGAACACACAACTACCAATATGGCAGTTATTATAAAAAGGAGAATGAAGTGTCCATTTGTTCCTATGGATTCTCAGCCCTTGAAGCCCCTTCGAGCAGCAGCAACAGATAGAGCAGAACACGCCTCTCCTCTCCCTCCCCAGAAGGCTGTCTTTCAGCTGCGCCCTCTCCAAAAACAGCTTTCTCTTCCTTCTGGGAATTTCCAGACCTCAAAAGCCAACTGAAATGCAGCCTCTTGCATGTTATTTTCTCATGCTCTTCCATTTTCTTTTTAGTTACATTCTTTTATGTTACATTCAACTTAGGGGGACAGACTACGGGCACCCCGTCCCGAGCAGAGCCTCACCGTCCCAGGCCTCGTGAAGTCCACGCTGTGCGCCAGGCTCTGCCGCATCTGGTTACTGAAGAGGCGGATACAGACGCTCTGGAGGTACTCGGGAGTGATCTGCAAGGACGACACGAGGACACTGTATTCTTAACCTTTCTTTCTACACCTGTTCTTTCCCTACAACTAGAAACATATTCAAATATATTTCATATTAAAAACATACCTTTCCTTCCTCCACCCAAGGGCTTCATCTATCGACCACCCTCAACATCCTTCCTCCACAGCCAAGGTCCTTGAAAGAACCATGCACGTTTGCTGTTTCACCTCCCTTTGCCTTTCAACACAATGTGACCACGTTTCTTCTGCCCTATTCCATGAAAACTCTCACAGCAAAGGCCACCACCAATGACCTAAATATCAAAAACATTGGACAATTTTCGCTTATCTTGGAGAGTTTTCTGTGGCTTTGCATCAACCCCTTACTCCTGAAACTGTTTCCTCCTTTGACTTCTTGAACTCCCACCAGAACCATTTCTCTAATAAGCAAATCTGATCATGTCACTTTCCTGCTTAAAACAAGTGAATGAGGAAAGGACATGAATAGACAGTTGACAAAATATGCATATATGTATAAATGGCCAACAACAATATATGAACATATATTCAGCCTTATAGATAACTGAAGAAATGTAATTAAAACATTCAGAATACCAAATTTCACTTACCAAACTGACCAAGATTTCAAAGTTTAATCATATCTACTATTGCTAAGCATGTGAAGAAACAGGCATTCTCATACACTACTGAGGGGTAGATATTGTTGAAATTTTAGGACAAATAATTTGGCAACATCTATCAAACTGTTAATGCTCACACTTTTGACCAAGCAATTCCACTTTTAGGACCATATCTTACCTATATTCAAAGGTATACAGTAATACAATAATGTTCATTGCAACATTTTTTATTGTTGTAAACAAAAAACGAAAAAATCTCAATGTTCATCACTAGAGACCTGATAAAAAAAACCGGTTCACTGTTATAATGGAATTATGTACAAGCATTAAGAAGAATGAGGGAGGTATGGCCACGTGGAAAGATCTCCAAGATATACTGAATGAGCAACAGCAAGTTTCAGGAGAGTAATAGATCATATGATCCCAACTAAGTGCATGTACGCTGGAAGTACGCGTGCACAGGTGCACACACATGCCTATGCAGAGAAACGTTCTGAAATAATACACAAGAAAATGGTAATCTTGAATATGAATAAGGAAACTAAAGAATCTTTGTGAAGGGGGCTTTTGTTCCTTACTATATGCTACTCTAAACTGTTTCAATTTTTTACCATGACCATGTATTTCTTTTACATTAAAAACAAGCTAGGCTGGGCGAAGTGGTTCACACCTGTAATCCCAGCACTCTGGGAGGCCGAGGTGGGAGGTGGGAGGATTGCTTGAGGACAGGAATTCAAGACCAGCCTGAGCAACACAGTGAGACCACATCTCTACAAAAAATAAAAACATTAGCCAGGGTGGTGGGATGTGTCTGTAGTCCCAGTGACTCAGGAGGCTGAGGTGGGAGGATCACTTGAGCCTTTGAGGCTGCAATGAGCTATGATGGTGCCACTGCACTCCAGCCTGGGAGACAGAGTGAGACCCCTATCTCTAAAAAAATCAAAAACAAAAATAAAACAGCAACAAAAATCTCCAGCTACTTAAGAGTCCAGGCTCCATCCTCTGCCCCATCTTGAAACTTGAGGCCTCTTTATATTCCTGCCTTGCGGCCGCAGGCCTCTACTCACAAACCCTGCAGTAGGAGCTCATGTGCTCACCTTTGATCACCATGCCACAGCTAGTGTCATGTCAACCTGGCTGTAAGAAGCACACCCAGGATGGTGGCAGTAATTTTTTAATAGGGAAGAAGGCAAAAGGAAGGTGTAAACTTTCCTTTTTCTTTCTATACTGTTTGAATTTTCTAACTATGTGCCTGTCTTTTAAAAATTTTTTTTGGTCAACAGTGATTATATGAGCCATTTTTGTCTGTTTCTGGTACTTTTCTGTATTACAGAAAAGTTAATACATGTTATTTTTAAAACTAAAAAACTTTAATTAACTTAAAAAGTCCAATTTTTAAAACATGCATTTCAGCAGCTCCTCCCTAAGTACAGCATGAGGCACATATTCCTAAGCACGATCCACAGATCTCCATGATCTTTACCTACCCACCTTCCCCGCATCATCTTCCAACATGTGCCCCCTCCCCACGTGCCAGACATTCTAGCCACACCAAGCATCTTGCTGCAGTTTCGTGAATGTCTGTGTGCTGCGTTTTCACAACATCAAAGAGGCTTTCAGCACTGGATAAAACATGTTAAAGAGCTGCCCTAATAAAAATGCATTGTTAGCTTAAGACTGGTCAGAACAATGGGAAAAAAAATCCCACTATTTGATAAAGGTAGCCATTCGAAATAATGAAGAAAGAAGTAAATAGTTCTTGTTCAAATGGTTTTATTTTTTGGGGAAAAAAATAGGTGCCTTCTTTATATCACTATCAAAATAAATTCCATATGGATTAAAGACTTAAAGGTAAAATTAAAACAACTAAAAACAAACAACATTTGAGGCTGCAGTGAGCTATGATGACACCTCTGCATGCTAGCCCGGGCAACAGAGCAAGACCCTCTCTCAAGATAAAAAAAAAACCCATAGAAGAAAATTTAAGTATGCATTTGGGCTCCCTCAGTGGGAAAAGCTTCTCTAATTATACTATGAAAAAGGCAAAATGAATATGAGGAAAAATTGATCAATTTGACTATATAAAGATATAAACATTAAATTAAGAAAGACTCAACTAAAAAGCAAGCAACAAACTGAAGACAGTATTTACAAAAGATAACAGTAAATGGCCTATGTCTGACAGCTCTGGTGATAAAACTGTATAGAGCTTAATACACATACAAGTACATGCAAACACACATACACAAATAAGTATAAGTATTAATAAAACTGGGGAAATCCGAAAAAGATCAATAGATTGTATCAATGTCATATGCTGGTAGTGATATTACTCTACAGTTTTACAAAATGTTACCTACCAACTAGGGTAACTTAGCAAAGTATATAAGGGATCACTCTGCATATTTTTTATAATGGTAATGTGAAACTACAATTATTTCAATTTTTAAAAAATTTATATCTCCACAAAACAATTTTATTGTACTTTATAATTTTTTTTAAGTGAAACAGGAAAGTCATTCCCATTAAAGTCAGGAATAAGACAAAGATGCTATGATGACATTATTCAACAACGTCCCATAAGTCTTAGCCAAGGTACTAGGAACAAAAAAAAAAAAAGAAAGTTTAGATAAATTTAAAAAGCAAAACAAAGATACATTATTTGAAGATGACATGACTGTCAATCTAGAATACAAAAGAATCAACCAAAAAAATCTATGAGATTAATAGGGTTCAAAAAGGTAGCTGGGGCCAGGCAGCTGATGGGGTAGTTGGGGCCAGGTGACTGATGCTGGCGCATGCCTATAAACATAGCACTCTGGCAGGCTAAGGAGGGAGGACTGCTTGAGGTCAGGGGTTTGAGACCAGCCTGAGCAAGAGCAAAGATCCTATCTTGAATAAAAATAGAAAAATTAGCCAGGTGTCATGGCACGCGCCTGTGGTTCCAGCTACTCGGGAGGCTGAGGCAAGAGAAAATTGCTAGAACCCAGGTGTTATAGGTTACAGTAAGCTAAGATGATGCCACTGTACTCTACCCAGGGCAACAGAGCGAGACATTGTCTCAGGACCAAAAAAAAGGTAGCTGGATACAAAATCAGTATATGAAAATCAACAGCTTTCCTATATGCCAGCAGGGCATTCCCCCCTCATTTTTTTGCCACTATATATATATATTTTTTTTTTCTATTGCCAGACAATTTACCCTTTGCTAATGTTAAGAGCAAGGTAGACAAATAAAGACATGGTCAACAATTTGTTAGGAAAAATGGATAAACTATTGCAAGCAGCATGAGAAAGAAAGCGTGGAAGCATCAGCTTGGTCTGCTCTGTGCACATCAGCTTTCTGAAATAGAGCAGCAGGCTCCGCTGGCCTCACACTGAGAGAGAGGCAGCCCCACTGGCCGCACCAGTAGTCCCCGCCCACAGTACTTCTTCCTTGTGAACAGACACACACAGCTGGGGATCTTCCTTACCATCTTGCCACTGACTGTGGCCTCGAGAGAGTCCACCAGCTCCGCCGTGACGCCAATGAGATTGTGGTAGTCCGCTTGGATCTTATTGTACCGCTTCAGGTATGTCATTGACCTACGTTCAGCTTCCACGAGCTGCTGGTGGAGCTGCTGCAACATTTCTAAGAAGACAGTTTACATTAAAATGAAACAAAAGCACAACAGCAACAAAAACCTACATAATGAAAAATAACTGTACTCTTCTCAAAAGACTACACACCTGTCAGAATATGTTGCTATAACAGTAACTCAACACTATTTGTGCTTAACACTTTACTTCTATTTCATGACACAGCTATTTACAAAGTGCTTTGTAACCACTGATTTAAAATTTCTTGTTTCTGGAAGTTCAGCTGAATCACCGCTGGGTTTCCTAACAAAATCTATTTTATTTCTAGCCAGGTGTGGTGGCTCACACTAGTAATCCTCACACTTTGGGAGGCAGAGGCAGGAGGACCACTTGAGCCCAGGAGTTTGAGACCAGCCTGAGCAACATGGCAAGACCCCATTTCTACAAAAAATAGAAAAAAAATTACTCAGGAGTCATGGTGCACACCTGTGGTCCCAGCTACTCTGGAGGCTGAGGCAAGAGGATCACTTGGACCCAGGAGTTTGAGACTGCTGCAAGCTATGATGACACCACTACACTCTAGCCTGGGCAACAGAGGGAGACCCTGGCTCAAAAATAAAAAATCTATTTCCTTAACTGAACCTCATGCAATTTCTTTTAGTTCTTCTCTCCATGACTAAGAAACAAAATCTATAGTCAGCTCACAAAATGGTGAATCAAACCTGTGTCTTTTTCTCTATTTTTGCACTATGAGATTGTCTGGGGGATAATTCATATCTGCAGGGCAGTTTTTCTTTTTAATTAAAAATAGGGATCGCTTGACTGATGCTGAGAAAAACAAGAATCCAGAATAAGAAACGATTCCAGTCTCATTCTACCAGTTTGATAAAACATAAAATCACTGCCACCAGGCCTTAGAGCAAGCGGCTTGGAAGGCTTGAGGGTTTTCTGCTTGGAATCCCTCCACAGAGCAAGAGAGAGCCTAGAGAGACTGAGGCCATGCCACCCTGACCACAGTTGGAATGAGCAAATCCTCATCACCTATTCTACGTCTCCCCTTTCTTGAAGGTCACATTTTGGATAGAAGGAGATAATACCGCCCCCAAACCCAGGTTAGCCCACTACTGTCCTGACCCAGGTACTGTGTGATATTTAACGTCTTCATTTTAGAACAGATTTCAAGGAGACAGAGAGAGACTTTAAAATTATAAAGACCTAGGCTCCAATTCCTACTCTACCACTGTCTTGCTGCATAGACAAAATATTTAACTTCTTTGGTTCTCATTTCTTAACCTATAAAATGGGGATAATGATAATTACCTTGAAGAGTTATTGTGAGGATTAAATGAAAAAATATACTCAGAGAGCCTAGCACAATGGCTGGCCCAGAGCAGGTGATGGATAAGTGGTGGCTATTATTATTATTATTTCATTTCATGGAGAGGGACAAAGACTTTCTACATGCATTTCCTATGCGAGTAGATAATTTGAAAAAGTGGCAGAAAGGTTCCATCCTAAAATGGTGGTATCAAGCTTTAAAAGATGTGAGAATCATCCAAAACTAAAGATGATCAGGGCTCTCCCCCAGACAATCGGATTTTATAAATATTGAGCGGAGTCTCGGTATTTACATTTTTAACAAACTCTCCAAATGGCTCTCACGCATGCTACAAGTTTGAGAACCACTGTCCTAAGTTATCCATTCTTCCTAATTTATGTTCTAAATAGCTATAAGGATCACCTACATTCAAATTATATTTCAAAAATTTTCATGTTTCATGATTGTTTATGTGCGGAGAAGTAAAATACTTTAACTATTAAAATCCAAAATATCATTTGATAATGAACTATTATTATTATTCAAAATCTACAAATCTCAGTATTGAAAGATAACTTTTAAAAGTCATCTGGCATGAATTTACACCCAGTACTTAAACCCTTGGAGAATATCCCTGAAAATCATTTATCAAGCTTCTCCTCAAATATTACTAGGGAGAGAGAGTCACTACTTTTTGGCTCTTACAATATGTTAAATTTGTGCAATTATTAAAGTTTTTCATATGTATAAAATTTAAAATTAAACTAAAACTCCCAAAGATGAAAATTCTATATAATATCATTCATGATTTCATTTCATGGTAGTAAATGCTAGAACATCTGTGACAACTTTCTTAACACGTACCAAGTGGTATATGATAAATCAGGTACTAAAACCCATTATCTGGGTCAAATGACCTCCCAAATCCTCAATGTGAACATCCAAAGCGGTCCCTCCCTAAAGCGAACTGCACAAAGGCACTCTTCTCCTCAGAAGCTCATTTTGCAATTAACTAAACATAAGGGATTATTTGTGGAACTTTTGCCTTGGGAACCCAGAATTGGAATTTATTACAATTTCAAAGTGTGGAACATCTGAGGGAAAAAAGATTTAACTGCCCACAGCATACAGGAATGAGAGAAGCTGGCAATGGGGCTGAAATGTTTGTGACCATTTTCAAATACTGTTGGCACTCTGTATCCATGGGTACCACATCTGTGGATTCAACCAACCTCGGATCAAAAATATTTGAGGGAAAAAAACCCACATCTGAATTGTGTAGAAATTTTTTCTTGTCATCATTCCCTAAACAATATTGTATAACAACTATTTACATAGCATTTACATTGCGTTAGGTATTATAAGTAATCTAGAGATGATTTAATACGGAAGGGATGTGCATAGGTTATATGCAAATACTATACCGTTTTATACAAGGGATTTAACGTCCATAGATTTTGGTACCTGAGGGGGTCCAGGAACCAATCCCCCACAGATACCAAGGGGCGACTATATGCCCTAGAGCAGAGGAATAGCCTGCTACCCAGAGATGTCACCTGGCAGATGTCTTAGCTATGTATAAACAGCACCTGACCCATGACTATAAGCTATTTGGGAGACAGCTCAAAGACATCAACTTTATTTCAGAGCAATAAACAGTACTTTGACTCTTTTCTCTGTCAAAAGTTTTATCAGACAAGAACAACTATGTCAAGACAGCTTGCCATGCAAGACCTCAACTTTTAATGGAGATGACTTATTAGCAACTCCATGTTATTTTAATAAAACTGTCAGTCATGGCAGTGAAATTTGAGATCCTTTATATTCCAAAACTACTGACATAATTTGTACAAAAGTTCGAAGAACTGCATTCCAAGTCTTAAATGAGAGAGATATATACAATTAAAAGAATGTCAATTAAAGTCACAGAAACGGGTATATACATACATAATGAGTGAGATGTGCACCATCTAGGGGATGGTCATGCTGGAAACTCAGACTTGTGGGGGGAGGAGGGGAAAGGGCATTTATTGAAACCTTAAAATCTGTACCCCCATAATATGCCGAAATAAAAAATAAAAACAGAAATAAAAAGTCACAGAAAGTTTTCCTGTAATTCTAGCATGCAAGGAATCAATAACAACAGCGGTGCAAAACTCTCCCCAGCCACTCAGGCTTTCTCTTTTAACATTTCTACTTCATTTAAGGACATGTTTCTTGTTTGTTTGTTTTTTTAAGGGTAAATGAGATTTTCATTTTAGAGACAGACACCTTGGCTGGTCAAGACAAAATAATCGATTTTAAAACATGGAATTGTTTTTCTAACCTAATACAAAAACCTAAAATCAATCACTCTATAATGAAATACTCTTTCTTTCTTGTATTCAGATATAAATTTCCTCTTTGCTATTTTGCCAATCTACAGATACTAGATAAATAAAATTATAACTTATAACTATGAATATACGTCATCGTTTTAAAAAATATTGTTTAGGGAACCAAATTCTAGAAAAATTATCAGTTGCTCATTTTCTAAAGAGGCTGAATGAATTATGTCATAAATGCCAAAAGATAGCCAGGTGTGGTGGCTCACAGCCTGTAACTCTAGCACTCTGGGAGGCCAACTCGGGAGAATCAAGTCAGGAGTTCAAGACCAGCCTGAGCAAGAGTGAGACCCCATCTCTACTAAAAATAGAAAGAAATTAGCTGGACAACTAAAAGTATATATATATAAAATTAGCCGGGGATGGTGTTGCATGCCTGTAGTCCCAGCTACTCGGGAAGCTGAGGCAGGAGGATCGCTTGAGCCCAGGAGTTTGAGGTTGCTGTGAACTAGGCTGACGCCAAGGCATTCCAGCCTGGGCAACAGAGTGAGACTCTGTCTCAAAAAAAAAAAAAAAAATGTCTGCAAAGTCTTTGACAATCCCTTCTTCCCATGAGGGGTGGAATGTCATTCTCCTTCCTTTGAATGTGAGCTGGCCTTAGGAACTCACCTGTAATGAGCAAAATGCAGCAGAAATGACAGTGAGTTACTTCAGAGCTTAGAAGATAGGAAAAAAGTGACATAGCGTTCACCTGGCTCTCTCTGGGGACATTCACTTTGGAACCTTGCCAACATGCCCTGAGGAAGCCCAGGCCACATGGAGGTGTACTAGTCAAGGGCCTCTGCTGAGATCCCAGGTGACAGCCAGCACCACCACCAAACTCGTGCAGGTGAGCGCCTGGGAAGTGGCCCCTCCTGGCTCCATCTACTGCACCTAAGAGACACCCTAGGGAGAAGGGACTGAGCCCACAACTCACAGACCATGCAGGATATTAATAAATGAATGTAACTAAATCTGAGTGGTCTGTTAGGCAGCAGGACAGTGGGATGAGGTGCATTTCCAGGAGTTGCAGGGCAAGATGCAAATGCCCAGCCCAGTTTAATGGTGCCAGCTGTGTTGGATGCGTGCAAACCAGCATGGGGTGCACCCTGGCCACAGTCTGGGCCTGGAATAACACTGGAGGGGCAGACCTTCAGAGCTGAGGAGACAGGCTGGGACCACTCAGAGCAGTCTTGGGGAGCTCCAAGGCTGTGCCCCAGCCAGAGCAGCCTGGTGAGCCTCAGAGCATTCCAGGTTGACCCTGTGGGGCCACATCTGGCAGAACCAGCCACATGTTTAGAACGGCGGGCGGGGCATGCACCAGGCTACAAAGGGTAAAAGCAAGCCCCAGCCTCAAAAGCCTCCTCATCTGAAGTGACCAAAGCCCTCCTTGGATGCAAATCTAAAACACTGCTTATTTGTCAACGGCCTGGTAAGCAAAGAGCTAAATACTTTACTAATGCCTCCTTTCTTTAAAAACCTTTAACTCTCTGAAAAGAAACATGGAAAACCAATGGCAGGAAGTTTTGAAATCCTGACATTACTCTGCCTTGAAAAGGGCAAATGTGCTATTTCATGGAACAAAAATGTCATGTAGTAAAACTCCACCTGCTGGGAACTGAGGATTATGCCACCGATACTTACGAATGGCATGAAGCATACCAGGTACCCTTCCCAACATCATCATTTAAGCAGTTTTCAAAATGTAGTATCAGAGACAAAACTATAAAACTGCCCCAACTGTGGCCACCGATTGCATTTTAAATAAAGTTTTTCTCACTTTACTGTAATATGAACAGTTCTAGTAAACATTACTGACCATGGAAAAACACTTTATGCTACAAACTTAAGACTCCACCTTGAATGTCAAAAATGGAAATGCTTTATAAGAATGGGCACTACATATTGCTAATGAAATAAGACTCCATTTGACTAACTGAAAGTAAAAGCTACAGATATTAAAGTAATTATTTGCTCACTGAGGCTGCATGAAGTCTTCTAAGTGTGCTGTTGCAGCACTTAGCTTTGGGATATTACCAGGATTCTCCGCATTCCTCCAGGCCTTAGTTATCTGATATAGAAGAGGAAACTAACAGGCTATCCTGAAAGGGGGGCCTCAAGGAATGGCAGAAAAGCACTTCATAAATATTCAGACGTTTAAAGCCCTCATTTGACAAGTCAACAAATTCTTTCCATCTTTGTGCCCTATCTCACTACTTAAAACTTGATTTGGCAAAGTTGTTCTTATAAAAATTTTAATCTAGATGACTTACCTTTGTTACTTTGTCCATTCTCCTTCTGGGATGAGAAAGAAGTTCAGGAAAATAAGCATTCAGGATGCAGTACTCTAACATTGTGTGGCCAATCTGAGAAAAAAACCTCAGCATGTGAAAAAGAGAATTCTTAGTTCCAAATGTTGCTCTAACTAGCTAAGCAACTTCTTGATACTTAGTAGACTTGTTCAGAATAAATCCTCTTCTCTCCATCTCAATTATCACTATGGGAAACCAACCAAGTCTTGCACTATTTCAAAAGCCTCCTAACTGGCCTTCCCATTCCCTTCAAAAGTCCTCCCCACTACTACCAAAACATCCTACTAAAAATGCAAACCTGAATTCACACCCTTTATCTCTGTAACTTCAATTCTGAAGCTTTAACATAAGGAAATTGACATTAGGATGAAAGCAACAAAGCACAGTGGCTAAGATCACAGACTTGGGACACAGACTGCCTGGGTTCAAATCTCAGCTCCAAAATGCCTAGCTGCATGAAGGCAAATTACTTATCTTGGATTTTTTTTCTCCCTTAATTTAATTCATCTTAATTAAATTTTTCTTAATTTTTTGATGACAGCTTTATTCATATACTATAAAATTCGCTTAAAGTGTACATTTCAATGGTTTTCAGTATTTACACAGAGTTGTGCAACCATCATCATAATCAATTTTAGAATATTTTCATCATCCCCCAAAAAAGAAACCCTATGCCCATCAGCAGTCACTCTGATGTCCCCTTTGACCTGAGCCCTTATCAACCACTAATTTACTTTCTGTCTCTACAGATTTGCCTCTTTTGGATCTTTCTTTCTTTTCTTTTAGAGACAGGATCTCACTCTGTGACCCAGGCCGGAACATAGTAATCTGATCATAGCTCATTGCAGCCTCAAATTCCTCAGCTCAAGCAATCCTCCCACCTCAGCCACCCGAATATCTGGGACTACAGATGCACACCCCCATGCCTGGCTAATATTTTTATTTTTATTTTTGTAGAGACGGAGTCTGCCAATTACCCAGGCTGGTCTCAAACTCCTGGCCCCAAGCAATCCTCTCGCCTCGGCATCCCAGAGCGCTGGGATTATGATTGTGAGCCATGTGCCCAGCCTGGACCTTTCCCATAAATGGAATCATATAATATGCGGCCTTTTGTGACTGGCTTCTTTTACTTAGCATAATGTTTTCATGGTTCAGCCATATGATAACATGAGTCAGTAATTCATTTCTTTTTATGGCCAAGTAATATTCCGTTGTATGAACATACACACGTTTTATTTATTCATCCATCAGTTGATAGACATTTGGACTGTTTACACTTTTTGGCTGCAATAAATGTTACTATGAACAATTCATGTACAAGTTGTGTGGATATATATTCTCATTTCTCTTGGATAAACAGCTAGGAGTGTAATTGCTGGGTCATATGGTATTAATAACTAAGTTTTAACCTTCTGAGGTTACTTAACATGTTTTTGAAGACTACTTAATGATATCAGGAATTTTTTCTTCATTTGATAAAAGTACTTAAAACTATATACCCTCATACATGTATCTATGTTTGTTATAAACATTACCTACTTTTGGATATATTTATAGGAAGTATGATTGATTTTATAATCAGGAATTAAAAAGTAAATTTTTTTTTTGGTAAATACTACTATGTTATTCTACTTAAAATGCTTCAGGCTAGGCACAGTGGCTCACGCCTGTAATCCTGGCATTCTGGGAGGCCGAGGGGGGAAGATATTTTGAGCTTAGAAGTTTGAGACCAGCCTGAGCAAGAGCGAGTGAGACCCCGTCTCTACTAAAAAATAGAAAAAATGAGCCGGGCATGGTGGCACATGCCTGTAATCCCAGGTACTTGAGAGGCTGAGGCAGGAGGATCGCCTGAGCCTAGGAGTTTGAGGTTGCTGTGAGCTAGGCTGACGCCACGGCACTCACTCTAGCCTGGGCAACAGTGAGACTCTGTCTCAAAAAAAAAAAAAAAAAAAATGCTTCAAAGTTTCTGTGTTTGCTGAAAACAAAAGAAATAAAATGTTTCAAAGGTTTCTCATTCCTTATAGCACTTCGCACAAACCTTCAGGATGTGGCCCCTGCCTAGTCTCTGACCTTCCCTGTGTCAATCCTCTGCTCCAGCAATATTAAATTCTTTGTATTTTCCCAAACATACTGTCTCAGCGCCTTTGCACAGGCTATTCCCTCTCCCTGCAGTTCCTATCCCCCACTCTGTCTGCCTCATAGACTCCCATTTTATGGTTTAAAACTTCATCTTGGCTAAGAGAACTATGTCTTGGCCTTTTCTTTATATCCCTAATTCCTAGCACAATATTTAATTCATCATAGAAGCTTAATATGTTGAGCTCAACTACAAATATTTTCATGTAACAAGAAAAATAAAGGGACATTGTTTACAGTTACCTGCTAAATTTCAGCGTGCTGAATTAAAGCATGCTGAATAGGATGAAAGGTGACAAGTACTTACAAATTCTAATACTAACAGCTAATAGTTAACAATTACTTATTATGTGCCAGACTGTTTGAAGCGAGTTATATGTATTAACTTCATCCTCATACTCTTCCTATGAAGTATTATTATTAACATACTAATATATTATTAATATAAGTAATATAATTTATTATGTAAATAATTTCATTTAGATTCTTAACATATTGGCATTCATAAGTTTTAAACTAAGAATTACTTTTTAAAAGTATGTTAAAATATAAGCCAAGTTGGAGAAGTCCCGATTTCACTAAAAACCAGAGAGAAGAGCTATAGTCCAGTCTGACTGTGGCTCAGGCCAGGCTAAGGAATTTGAAGCCACTGAAGACTTGGGAAGCTGAACTTGAAATGTGTCATGGATCCTAGAGACAAAAGACTTCAGTTAGGAAAAAGGAGTTAAAACTTCAGACTCAGAGAGGAAGCAGGAGGTATTATGTAGCAAAATAGCCTAAAATTTTCATTAAAAAAAATAATCACCAACTTCACAATCGAAACTGTTATATTCTTGTTATAAAATAACTTTGTATATGTTTTTTTTTTTTTTTTTCAAGACAGAGTCTCGCTTTGTTGCCCAGGCTAGAGTGAGTGCCGTGGCGTCAGCCTAGCTCACAGCAACCTCAAACTCCTGGGCTTGAGCGATCCTTCTGCCTCAGCCTCCCGAGTAGCTGGGACTACAGGCATGCGCCACCATGCCCGGCTAATTTTTTATATATATATCAGTTGGCCAATTAATTTCTTTCTATTTATAGTAGAGACGGGGTCTCGCTCTTGCTCAGGCTGGTTTTGAACTCCTGACCTTGAGCAATCCGCCCGCCTCGGCCTCCCAAGAGCTAGGATTACAGACGTGAGCCACAGCGCCCGGCCTGTATATGTTTTTATTCCAAGTAAAAGGAGAATTGTCCTTAAAGACTAACAACCTTTGGGAAATTAGATTCTCATGGGTTGGGTGACCAAATTTTCCACTCTTCCTAGGAGAGGCTCCATTTACACCTGCCACCCGGTACTCTGCCCAGTTAGTGCCCCTTTTTACTCTCAAAAGTGTACCAATTTGGGGCTGGCACAGTGGCTCATGCATGTAATCCTAGCACTCTGGGAGACCGAGGGGGTGGATTGCTTGAGGTCAGGAGTTTGAAACCAACCTGAGCAAGAGTGAGACCCCGTCTCTACTATAAATAGAAAGAAATTAACTGGCCAACTAATATATATAGAAAAAATTAGCCGGGCATGGTGGCACATGCCTGTAGTCCCAGCTACTCGGGAGGCTGAGGCAGCAGGATCACTTGAGCCCAGGAGTTTGAGGTTGCTGTGAGCTAGGCTGACACCACGGCACTCACTCTAGCCTGGGCAACAAAGCAAGACTCTATCTCAAAAAAATTAAAAAATAAATAAAAAAGTATCCCAATTTGAATTAGATTGTGATAACAGCTGCACAACTCCATACATTTGATAAAAATCAATGAATTGTACATTTACAATGAATAGATTTTATGTATATAAATCATACCTCAATAAAGTTGCTTAAAAAGAAGTGCCAATTTGAATGACAAGTTAGATGGTCACACAATCCATATGTCATGGCCTCAAGGCCTTAAAAGTGATTGACCCTCTGCAAAGGGACAATTATTCCAAGAAGTTCTTTTATAAGAAGACAGACTTTTGTTTTCCTACCTAGACAGCTTCTAGGCACATGACATCAAAATAAGACCTAGCCAAGTCTCAGAGATCTACTGCTATAGAAGTTGACATTTACAGACCTGGACACATCCTCCCATTAATGATCCATTTGCCTTATAAATAAAAAGGCAACACTATTAATTATCCCTACATATGAGGCAACCTAAGCAAGTGTGCTACTCTACTTAAAATCTGCTCTAAGACCATAGGTGGTCTCTACTTGCTTTAAAAGGATACATATATTGTTAAAAGCTTTGGCGTGTTACTAGCTTTAAATATTAAAGCTAGAAACTTTTCCAACTTCAACTTTAACTCTGGAGTCCAGGAATCCTAAAGAAAAAAACACAGGAACAAAAATAAAAACACTAGGTCACTAAACGCCAACAACATCATCAAGTTGTAACTAGTGGATTAAAAATCCCTGCCAGTTATTGGAACCAAAAACAAGATGTCTTGCAAGTGATGTGAGGCTGTGAAATGCAGATTTTAGGACATCTGACCAATTAATTTGCAGAATATTCAAGTATCCACAACAGGAGGGAAAAACAGAGCTCTATCATAAACAGGGAAAAAATAACCCTGTATACAATATGAATATTTCATGTGATTTAAACACAATTGTGACAAGTAACCTTATTAGGGTGAATACCAAAAATAATTCTGTACAGTTTAGGCATGCTTGGCACTGGTAGGCATAACAAACAATTATCACCAAGTTACTGAAAGCTTCCCAAAGAAAAGGACTCATTTCCATAAACCTCCTCTAAATAAGAAAAAAAATGACAGAAGCTATACCTGCCACAAATACCCCATCATGCCAAGGATTATAATATACTTTTAGTTTGATTTGTCCCTTAAAAATAAATTATTTATCTTAAATAATACTCAATAAGGAAAAAATAATGACAAATATTTAATAGTAAAAAAAGTACAAGTAAGGATCTTTCTCAGGACAATTGTCCTTTGACCCTTTATACCAAAACATCTTCCACCCAAACAAAGCAGTTCCACAAAAAAGCAGCTCTGTCAGTAAAAGTTCATATCATATCCACTGTCCTTTGGATCCTGCCCCTTCACCCTCAGATTCCCTGTCCTTGCCCACTTCCTCCTCCCCTCCAGCCCTGCATTTGCCTCCATACCTCTACCCCGACCCAATCACCCAGCCAGCATGTCACCTGGCTTCTGGAAAAAATACTGCCCAATGAACAGAAAGTTCTTAAATTTAAAAAAATTTGTAATTCAGGCTAGGCGAGGTGGCTCCTGCCTGTAATCCTAGCACTCTGGGAGGCTGAGGCGGGCGGACTGCTCGAGGTCAGGAGTTCGAAATCAACCTGAGAAAGAGCGAGACCCCGTCTCTACTATAAATAGAAAGAAATTAATTGGCCAACTAATATATATAGAAAAAATTAGCCGGGCATGGTGGCGCATGCGCATGCCTGTAGTCCCAGCTACTCGGAAGCCTGGGGCAGTAGGATGGCTTGAGCCCAGGAGTTTGAGGTTGCTGTGAGCTAGGCTGACGCCACGGCACTCACTCTAGCCAGGGCAACAAAACAAGACTCTGTCTCAAAAAACAAAAAATTTGTAATTCCCTGACACTGTATGATAACTTTGTTTATAATGTGTATGTTATGGCTAGGCACAGTGGCCTCACACCTATAATCCCAGCACTTTAGGAGGCCAAAGCAGGAGGACGGCTGAGGCCAAGAGTTCAAGACCAGCCTGGGCAATATAACTCTACAAAGCTCTGTACAGACCCCATCTTAACAAAAAATTTAAAACTTAGGGCTGGGTGCAATGGCTCATACCTGTAATCCTAGCACTTTGGGAGGCTAAGGTAGAAGGACCGCTTGAGACCAGGAGTTCAAGAATAGTCTGAGCAACACAGAGAGACCCTGTCTCCACAAAAAATATAAAAATTAGCTGGGCATGGTGGTGCACACCTGTAGTCCCAGCTAGTCAGGAGGCTGAGGCAGGAGGATCGCTTGAGCCCAAGAGTTCCAGGGTGCAGTGAGCTACAATTGCGCCATTGTACTCCAGTCTGGGCAACAGAGTGAGCTACTTTTTTTAAAAAAAAAGTATGTGTTATAAATTATGGGTTGAATTGTGTCCCCCCAAAAGATATGCTTAAGTCCTAACCCCTGGTACCTCAGAACACGAAGCCATGGGGAATGGGGTCATTGCAGATGTAATTAAAGTTAAGGTGACACACTGGAGTAGGGGGGGCCCTTAATCCAATATGACTGGTGCCCTCACAAGGAGAAGGAAATGTTGACATAGACAGAGGGAGGATGGCCACGTGAAGACAGACAGAGCAGAGCGATGTTGCCGCAAGCCAAGGAACACCTGTGGCTACCAGAATCCGGGAGAGGAAAGGAAGGGTCCTCCCCTAGAGGCTTCAGGGAAAGTGTGGCCCCGCTGACACCCTAGCCTCCAGACTTCTAGCCTCCAGAATGTGAGACAATCAATTTCTGTCGTTTTAAGCCACCCAGTCTGTGGTACTTTGTTAGGGCAGCCCTAGGAAACCAATGCAGTGTGCTACACAGCTTGACCATATAGAAAAAGATCTCAGGAAAGGACTGCTATGTTGGCCACCAGTCTTACAAAACAAGACATCTTACAAAACAAACAAAGCAAAATATTTGGTACATGCAGACTTCCAGTTAGATTGCTACATTGTTGTTTTGTTTTTGTTTTTGTTTTGAGACAGGGCCTCGCTCTGTTGCCCAGGCTAGAGTGCAGTGGCATCATTATAGCTCACAGCAACCTCAAACTCCTGGACTCAAGCCATCCTCCTGCCTCAGCCGCCCAAGGAGCTGGGACTACAGGCATGTGTCACCATGCCCAGCAAATTTTTCTATTTTTTGTAGAGACAGGGTCTTGCTCTTGCTCAGGCTCACTCTGTTGTTATCACTTTGTACAATCAACAAACCTGTTGTTCCAATTTAATTACCTTATGGTGCACTGCTAATGACAGGGATAAGATGGAATAAAACCTCTCTGGGCAGGAATTCCCTATTTTTTCTTGACTGTACTTATTTTTTCTGAGCTTTCAGCTTGAGAGTAAGAACACACCCCAAGTCTGAGGGGCACTTCACTACCCAACTTCAAATAAGAAGAGCGAAGAGCTGGGGGAAGTGATGTCTGGGCTCTACTACACCTTGCTTGGGAAGCCACTCACCCTCTTAACGTCACAGTGTTTGCCCTTGCAGAAGGGAAACTTTAAAGTAGATTAGTAATTGTCTGATTTTCCCCCCAACATCACAACCCTTTTTATCACTCATAATCCTAGTCAGAACACTAACACATTAAATGGATCAAAGTGGGGTTACTATGTGGAAGTGGGGGCTCATGCCCTTGGTTTACCTGTTGACTCCTTCCTTCCTGGCAGAGCCTGTAAGAGTCCCTTCCATTTCCCTAACTCCTCAGTAATTAAGCATAATTTATGTCCCTGGCCCATAAGGGGTGCTGAGAAGTTTTTCCTGAAGTAATCAATTATAGGCATACCTAAGTATTTCTTTCTTTCTTTTTGTTTTTGAGACAGAGTCTTACTTCTGTTGCCCTGGCTAGAGTGGCGTGGCATCAGCCTAGCTCACAGCAACCTCAAACTTATGGGATCCAGAGATCCTCCTGCCTCAGCCTCCCGGGTAGCTGGGACTATAGGCATGCGCCACTATGCCCAGCTAATTTTTTCTATATATTTTTAGTTGGCCAACTAATTTCTTTCTATTTTCAGTAGAGATGGGGTCTTGATCTTGGTCAGACCAAGATCTGGTCAGGAGTTGACCAGGATTGCTCAACTCCTGACCTTGAGCAATCCTCCCACATTGGCCTCCCAGAATGCTGGGATTACAGGCGTGAGCCACGGCGCCCGGCCATACCTAAGTATTTCTGCAAGGGGATGCTCATTGACAAATTGAGTCTGCAGAAAAGAACTTGTTACAATCTCTACAAAGGAATTTCCTTTTCTGCCAACACTGGAGAAGAGATAATATGAAGAAGCAATGAAAACAACTAAGAAAACTGGATAAAATAAAGACCATCTTTTCAAAGCAAGACAAAAATTTCTAACAAGGAACCAAGAGTTCCAGAACTTAACAGTAAAACAAAAGAAGCATTTCTAATGACAAGGTGTAGAAAGCCAGAGATAAAATCCAACAGAACACATCCTGAAAACTGGGATCAAGAAACTGTATAATCCACCCTCACTCCAAGTATGCTCTGGGATGGCACAAAGCATGTCCTGTGAGAGGGCTTTAGAGATATGATCACTTCTGTCTGTAGAATGTGTGTGGCCATCTTTTTAAATGCACCCCTGAGGGGCAAAAAAGGAACTGCAGTGGTCAAACATGAAGGAAAAGCAGAAACCCTGGGAGAAAAGAAAGCATCAAAGGCAGTTTTTGCCCTAAGGAAAACTGCACAATCTTGAAGACCTTGAACTTCAGTTCTGAGAGCTGTTGGGGTAGAGATGGAAGACAGTAAGATCTGCCCAAAGTAGGTAATCTGATAGGAGATCCCAAAGGGATAAACTGGGACTCCAAAGGGCTGTACCATCAGTAAAAGGTTACGGATAAATAAAGCCATTATACAGACAGGGACAACAAGGAAACATACCTGTCTCGACCATGACATTAGGTGGAAGGAAGGGAAAACCTCGTTTAAGACTTCAAAATCACACTTAGTCCCATAAAAGACTGCAGCTGAAACCGATACTATCTGTGTGGTCCCCAAAACCTCCAGCAAATAATGTCATTTAAAATAGTCCTGGGTTGGTAATGTACCAGGTGACTTGGAGATGCAAATACAAAACTTTTCTGGAAGAATCAAACTACACTCAGGTCACAAAAAAAATCCCCTCAACTCCTAAGTAAAATGAACTAAGAGACTACAAAAATGATCCAGCAAACCTAAATAAAAAAGAAAAACCTTGTGTAAAAAAAGAGCTAATAAGTGAAATTACAAATTCAGTGAAAAGGTCAAAGAACAGACTAAAGATTGCTGAAGGGTAAGTTAGTGAACTGGAAGACAGGTGTGAAGAAATCACCCAGAATACAGAGAGAAAGAGATCAGGAAATGGAAAACATAAGATGTTAACAGACACGGAGGGCACAACAACGAGCATGTACTTACCACTACTCAACTGTACTCTTACAAATGGCCAAAATGATGAACTTTATGTTATGTATATTTTACTACAATTTAAAAAATGAAAAAAAAAAAGACATGGAGAATATAATGAGAAAGTCTAACATACATTTAATCAGATATCCAGGAGATAGTAAAGAATATGGGGAAGAGGTAAAATATACCAAGAATTTTCCAGAGTTTGAAAGACACAAAGACTTTTCCAGAGTTTGAAAGACTTCACATCCAGGAAGCCCAACAAATCTTAAGTAAAAACGGAAATCTACTCCTAGACACACTGTAGTGAAACTATACAATCCCAAAGGCCAGAGAAAAAAGAGATCACCTACAAAGGAACAGCAATTAGAGTGATGGCCAACTTCAGAATAGAAACAATGGGAACTAGGAGACTATGCAGTATAGCTAAGCTTTCCATCTTCAATATACTAAAGCAAAATAACTGTAAACATAATATTCTTAACCCTAAGAAAGCAACAAAGACATTTTCAGACAAACAGGAACTGAAAGAAGAAATCTTCAAGTATAGGAGCCTTTAAGGGAATGTACTTAACTCAGGAGAAAATTACCCCCGATGGAAGGTCCTTAACACAAGCGGGTATGGTAAGCAAAAATATGAGTAAATATAAAAGAACACCAATATACACTGATTGCATAAAATAGTAAAAATTTCTAATTTGTGCAGCTAAAATATATAACTAAAATACTTGACAATAATAGCACATAAATTGGGAAAGGGATGAATGAAGTTAATGCATTCTAAGTTCCTTGAATGTTCTGGAAGGAATAAAGATATTTACCTTAGACTTTATTATGTATACATACTAAAATATCTATGATGACCATTAAAAGAACAGATGTACAGTAGCAAAAGGAAAAAAATGGAATAAAATGATTCCCCATGAATACGGACAGTCACTAAATTCCTTAAAGCACCAGAGCCCGACGTCCGCCTTGGAACGCCAGACCCGAGCGGGCCGTGTGCCTGCTGCGCCCGGGCTGGACCCCGTCCCTGATTCTGCCCACTCCACCCCGGGTCTAAGCCTTATCCACGCTGCTATGCCATGTTGTTCACAAATGAAGTCTTCACTGTGAGAAAATGAGGTTGTAATTAAAAAAATAATTTAAGCAAACCTTAGTTTTTTAAAGCATCACTCAGAAACGACTAGTGTATACAAGGTGAAATCACAGTGTTGCCCAGGATCTGATACAAAATTCAAAGCCTGCCACTTACCTGGAAGAGTTCTTTAAATGAAGGGTGTACCATAGGGTTGGGAACAAAAGGAAGGGCGTAGAAAGGAAGAAACTCCGTGGTCTGGCTCAGCGCTGCCCCTTTGGTCTCCAGGTAGGTTTTGAAGTAAGAAATCCTTTCCTCCAGCTCCTCTCTGTCCTGGAGGAAGGGAAGAAGCCCAGGCCACCTGTTCACCTGGCCTCGCCCTGAGGCTCCTCAGGTCCCAGCCGGTGGCTGGCCCCCCCACCTGGCCTGGTAGTTGTGCTGTCACAGTCATTCTATGATTACCTCAAACTTCCCCCCTAATAAAACTCTGTCAGGAATATCAGAGAACTACGTATACAGTTCAATATGCTGTGTTTTTACTTTATTATCACCATTTTCTCATGTTCTTAAAATTCTTCATAAACATTTTTAACAGCGGGACAAAACCTCATCTTGCCTATTATAACTTACTTAATTCTCCCATTATTAGACATATACATTGCTTCCACTTCTCATCTAGAAACGAATATTTGTCGGCCTTCCCCCAATTCCAGCAAGAGAGGTTTCAAAAGGTGAGCAGCTCATTTCTCACTTTTATGGCAAAAAAAAAAAAAAAAAAAAAAGGTGAGCAGGCGAGCCTTTACGGCATTTGAAGCGGAAGCTTCCACACCGCTCTTTGCTGTACCCCCCAAGGCTGGCCTCGTCCTGCTTCACTCTTCCACGTGCAAGCCAAGCAAGTCAGTTCCCTGTCGGGGTGTCTATCTGCTCCTGAGCCTTGATGACAAAACCAGAGGAGCCGAGTCCGGGCCTGCCCTTTCGAGCACGCTGGGTCCGGCCGGCTCGGCCCTCATGGCCTGGCGCGCAGACCAAGCCTGCTCTGCTCACGGACGCGCCTCATCTGAGGCACACCATGAGGCCCTCTTCTGATCACTGGGCTTAAAAATAGATTATGTTTACTGATTTTTATCCTATAGCAAAATTGAAAAATGAAAAAAGCAGAAAAATTAAAAACCAGAAATAAAAACAAAAAATGAAAACTTCCTATATCTTCTCCACATGAGTAATAGCTTGAGGAACAGCCTTCCAAGAATGGTAGCACAATATAGTGTCATGCTGCTCCCTCCACCACTGTCCCCTCCTTTGGTGTCCCTGACATTTAACAAGTTAACACTGGTCCCGGCGGCAGCAGTTAATGCCCGGGGTCCAGTGCCAGCAGCCCCTGCTCCCTTTCTGTCATTCACTCTGTACTCAAACCTCAGCCAGTAGCAGCTGGAAATTTCAGTTCTGTCCTCTCCTCCCATCTCCAGCCTTCTGGGAAAGGACGGCAGAAGCTAAATCCAACCCATCACTCAAATGGACTATCCACAAGTGGGCATACTATTTTCCACCACCTAAGTTTAAATTTATGTTCTCATATAGGGTCTAATATGTGGCCTAAATTTGTGTTCTCTTAGACATACATGTATATATATTAAGTTGCCAAAGAAACTTTATTTTGATGAGTTTTCAAAAGCTTGAGGTATGTAGAAAAACACGTAACTTTGATTACAGAAATGATTAAATATTCATATAAATTAGAACATAAACTGCTGGGAATAAGGTAGAAAATCATTCACCATGGCCAGAAGTGGTGGCTTACATCTGCAATCCTAGCATTCTGAGAGGTCAAGACAGGAAGATCACTTGAGCTCAGGAGTTTGGGACCAGCCTGAGCAAGAGTAAGGCCCCATCCCTACTAAAAATAGAAAAATTAGCTGGGCACAATGGCACATGGCTATAGTCCCAGCTACTCAGGAGGCTTAGGCAAGAGGATCACTTGAGCCCAGGAGTTTGGGGTTGCAGTGGGCTATGATGATGCCACTGCACTCTATCCAGGGTGACAGAATGAGACTCTGTCTCAAAAAAAAAGAAAGAAAGAAAGAAAAGAAAAGGAAAAAGGCCGGGCGCAGTAGCTCACGCCTGTAATCCTGGCACTCTGGGAGGCCGAGGCAGGTGGATCGCTCAAGGTCAGGAGTTCAAAACCAACCTGAGCAAGAGCTAGACCCTGTCTCTACTAAAAATAGAAAGAAATTAATTGGCTAACTAAAAATATATAGAAAACATTAGCCAGGCATGATGGTGCATGCCCGTAGTCAGCTACTCAGGAGACTGAGGCAGACGGACTGCTTGAGCCCAGGAGTTTGAGGTTGCTATGAGCTAGGCTGATGCCACGGCACTCTAGCCTGGGCAACAGAGTGAGACTCTGTCTCAAAAAAACTAAAAAAAGAAAATCATTCATAAAAATGCCTACATCTTATAGGCAATATCATAAAATAGCCACAAAATGAAATCAATACTCATTTGGAAAATAATAGCTAACTTTCTCTTAAAATACACCATTCAGACCAACTCAAATCACAAGGTAAACCTACCGGTCTCCCCTATAGAGTGTTTCAGAAGATAGATGGCAAAATGGATATGAAGATAGAATTCCAACTTCTGGGCAAGGGAGTCGCCATCTCGGATGGAACTGGGAACGTGCTCTTCCCACAAATTGAAGAACACCTGCTGGTCTCCACTGTCAAATGCAGTGACAAAGATCCTTCTGTGAAGAAGACATCCATTGAACCCTAATTGTAAGGAATGCTAGTTCTTCCAACACCCCAAATCATCACAACCCACCTAACACCACCCCAAATCATCACAACCCACCCAACACCATAGATACCCCATACACTCCTTTTCAGAGTTAAGGGACAGAAAAATAGAGATCCCAGAGGGCTTCAAGCTTCTTAGGCTGAGATTCCTACAGACCAACCCTGGTTTTCTACCTCTGTGCAATATTAAATCTGAGCACTATAAAAACAGACAAAACATTTAAGGTCTTTGAAATGGAAAGAATCAGACCCCAGACAAAGACTTGAAGCCAGAGAACTCATAAATAGACTAAAGTCACCCTTTGTGCTTGCTGCCCTACAGCATGCGACTGATAAAAACAGGTTAGGTGGCCGGGCACAGTGGCTCATGCCTGTAATCCCAGCACTCTGGGAGGCTGAGGCGGGAGGATAGCTCAAGGTTAGGAGTTTGAAACCAGCCTGGGCAAGAGCGAGACCTTGTCTCTACTAAAAATAGAAAGAAATTAATTGGCCAACTAAAAATATATAGAAAAAATTAGCCAGGCATGATGGTGCATGCCCGTAGTCAGCTACTCAGGAGACTGAGGCAGACGGACTGCTTGAGCCCAGGAGTTTGAGGTTGCTATGAGCTAGGCTGATGCCACGGCACTCTAGCCTGGGCAACAGAGTGAGACTCTGTCTCAAAAAAACTAAAAAAAGAAAATCATTCATAAAAATGCCTACATCTTATAGGCAATATCATAAAATAGCCACAAAATGAAATCAATACTCATTTGGAAAACAATAGCTAACTTTGTCTTAAAACACACCATTCAGACCAACTCAAATCACAAGGTAAACCTACCGGTCTCCCTATAGAGTGTTTCAGAAGATAGATGGCAAAATGGATATGAAGATAGAATTCCAACTTCTGGGCAAGGGAGTCGCCATCTCGGATGGAACTGGGAACGTGCTCTTCCCACAAATTGAAGAACACCTGCTGGTCTCCACTGTCAAATGCAGTGACAAGATCCTTCTGTGAAGAAGACATCCATTGAACCCTAATTGTAAGGAATGCTAGTTCTTCCAACACCCCAAATCATCACAACCCACCTAACACCACCCCAAATCATCACAACCCACCCAACACCATAGATACCCCATACACTCCTTTTCAGAGTTAAGGGACAGAAAAATAGAGATCCCAGAGGGCTTCAAGCTTCTTAGGCTGAGATTCCTACAGACCACAACCCTGGTTTTCTACCTCTGTGCAATATTAAATCTGAGCACTATAAAAACAGACAAAACATTTAAGGTCTTTGAAATGGAAAGAATCAGACCCCAGACAAAGACTTGAAGCCAGAGAACTCATAAATAGACTGAAGTCACCCTTTGGGCTTGCTGCCCTACAGCATGCGACTGATAAAAACAGGTTAGGTGGCCAGGCACAGTGGCTCATGCCTGTAATCCCAGCACTCTGGGAGGCTGAGGCGGGAGGATAGCTCAAGGTTAGGAGTTTGAAACCAGCCTGGGCAAGGAGTGAAGACTTGTCTCTACTAAAAATAGAAAGAAATTAATTGGCCAACTAAAAATATATAGAAAAAATTAGCCAGGCATGGTGGTGCATGCCTGTAGTCCCAGCTACTTGGGAGGCTGAAGCAGTAGGATCGCTTGAGCCCAGGAGTTTGAGGTTGCTGTGAGCTAGGCTGACGCCACGGCACTCTAGCCCCGACAATAGAGTGAGACTCTGTCTCAAAAAAAAATAAAAAATAAAAAATAAAAAAAAGCAATAAAGAAAAAAAAAACAGATTAGGCCAAGAGCCCCACCAGGCCACACAGGAACCACCCTCACACATATGGACTCTCGCTGACAGCACCACCCTCAAGTCCTTGAGCACCAGCAGCACATATACAATGACCCAGTCAATCCTGGGCCTGGGACGTGGGCGCCATCACTTGCCCCTGTCGCTAGAAGCAAGTCTGACTGAGACAGCACTATGGGAAGCCACTGCAGATCCCAAAGTACCATAAGGGGACCGTCTGTGCTCACTGGCTGTAGCGACAGGGAAGCACAGGCTGGAGATGAAGGAAGTACACGCTCAGCGCCATTCCCACCACAGAGCTGTGAGTCTATGTGGACAGGGACAGCTTTATGACTTACCATGCAAGTAGTTGAAAGAGTATTTTGGAGAAAAGAGATAGCAATTATCATCCTGCCTTACAAGAAGAAAAACAACTGACTTGGCACAAATACCTGCTGCATAATATTGTGGATTTAAGTATAAGGCAGAATTGAAAGAATTTCCTAACAGTCCCAAACAGTGGCTCCTATTGTTCTCCTTTATGTATCGAAAGGCCAAGATATTCGGACCTACACTTCATGTTCAATTGCAAAAGCTTTTAAGCAGCAGTGCCGCTGGGAGCTGGCTAACCCCCAAGCTCACCTGTGCCCAGGTCCCCAGCAAACCCTGCGAGGAAGCCTTTGCCCTTGAGAGGTAGAGTGACAAGAGGTCTTTGATTGTGTGAATGAGGTGAGCACAGATTCTTGTGGTATTTTAAGGCTCAGAGTCAAGATATTTTCTTAACGTGTCTTGGCAGGGTCTATAAGTCAAATGGGCCATCTGTAGTTTGTTCTAAACTCTATATTTGTAGACCTTGGGACCACAAACCTTTGCTATGTCATTATAATCACATCTATCATCCACCCTAACTTATGAATCATATTCTGTTCCTGGAAATGGTCCCTGCATTTAAAATAATACCCACACATAATGCACTCCACTGTTACAACTTATGTGGTCACAAAATATTAATGATCTGCTGTAAGCCATGATCGCAGCCAGAATCATCGAGATGAGCAAACATGCACACCACCGATAGTAATGTACTAATATAAATGCACACGCTTCTCATAGGACTGTGCTTGGGGAAAGCCGCCATTTGTTGAGTGCCACTGACAATGAGCATATTTTGCTGAACTGCTGCTCCAGGTATTTTTGTTTGGGAAATCTATCATAGTGGAGCACAGCTTTTGATGGGGTGAGCAGAAAAGATATGCTTGTGAAAATCAGGAAGTTTCAAGGTCTTTCAATTTATATAAAAATGAACCTGAAGACAGAGAAATGCAAATCTAAACCATAACAAGATATCACTTCAAACCAATTAAAATGGCTAACACACACACACGTATACACACACACACACAAATGGAAAATAACAAGTGTTGGCATGGATGTAGAGAAATTGGAACCCTTATACCCTACTGCTGAAAGTGGAAAATGGTAGAACCGCTTTGTAAAACAGTTTGGCAATGTCCTCAAAAAATTAAAAATAGAGTTACCCTATGATCCAGCTAACCCACTTCTAGGTATATATCCAAAAGAATGAAAAGCAAGGTCTTGAAGGGACATATGCACACTCATGTTCACAGCTGCACTATTCACAATAGCCAAGTGTCCACTGACAGAGGGATGGATAAACAAACTGTGGTATACACATACGACAGAATATCATTCAGGCTTTACAAAGGAAGGAAATCTTGTCACATACTACAACATGAATGAACCTTGAGAACATTAGGCTGAAATAGGCTAGTCACAAAAAGACAAATACTCTATGATTACACTTATATGAGGTAACTAAAGTAGTCACATTCACAGAAAGTAGACTGGTGGTTGCTGAGGGATGGGGGAGGAGGAAAGAGGGAGTTGTTTAACGGGCATAAAGCTTCTGATTTGCAAGAGGAAGAAGTTTTAGAGATCTGTTTCACAACATGTAAACAAACTCAACGCTATAGGACTGCACACATTAAAATAATTACAATGGTAAATTTTATGTTTTTAATCACAATTTTTTAAAAGACCCCAAGAGATATTTAAGTGTTCTCAGATGCAGCTGGAGCTGAAATGTAATGGCAACCCAGTTGCAAAAAGTGTAAAGCAGTTGTCTCTGGAGGTCTGAGATTTACAAAGAAGCTTCAAGACGAAGAGCCTGTTGGCCTTGCCCTCCATCATCACATAATCGGGTCATGTGTGAACTTCACAAAAGATTCTATTTTGCTTGTTGGTACTGAGGATTTGCCATATCCCTCACAGGCGTTAGTTTCAATGAAGAGATGCTGACATATTCTTCTAATGGGTATGTAAGGTGGGTGGTCTTTCTTCATCCAGAGGAACCAGGGAAACTAGGTGCTGGGGAGTGAAGCTGACTTCCTGATGAACACACTTCACTCTGACTAAGGATCTGTTTCCACCTCTCATAACGACTCTATTCTTTTATGTTCTGACTATCTTGTTCCAGGTTTGGGAGGTGCCAGGGAGGTCTGGCTGCTGCAGCACCCACAGAGAAATCTGTGTCTGAAGAGGCGGCAGCTCCGGCGCCTCAGGCCCAAAGGGGACCAGGCAGAGGGCATAGCCCCCCTTAAGCTCCATGGCCACTTTGACAGCACCACCCCCTCCAAAGATGACCATGCCAGGCCACTGGAGAGTTAGGGACTAGGAAAAGACGGGCAGCGGCTGCAGTCTGAACTGCAGCTACTCAAGCAACTCACAAACCAAGCCTCAAATTATTTTTGGAAGAAGGTATATTGAAGAAATAAATAAATTTATTTAAATAATTCAATCACCTGAAGGTGAAATATGCTACCTCGAAAAATGTTATGTTCTCTTGTCACTGGAAATATTCAAAGTGAACTGATCACTTACCTGGACTATTACAAATGTGATCAAGGCATCAAATAATGCTTAAAATGAGGACTGTTAAGGTCCCTTTTAATCCTGAGAGTTGAGGACTGTACAATCTTGTGCCCTCTGCAGCTCACTGCTATATCCACAGAGCTGCTCAGGCATTCCCTTGATAAAATGCTACCTTGTTTACTCTTATTCTATGTCTCCTCCAATCCCCCCAAACTAGAATGCAAGCTCTGTGCAGAGATTTGGTTTTGTTTGTTTGCTGTAGTACTCACAGTGCCCAGAATTAATAACCTTAACTCCTCAGGAGGAGTCGTCTCCTCTTTCCTTCTTCTGAAGAAATGTATGTGAAAGATCTTATGTGGCCACAAATTTCCTAGATAAGGTACACAGATTTAAAGATGACATTACCAATTCATCCATAAATACTTATGCAGTCTAAAGTAACTCTGAGTAGGTCCTCAGAAACAATTCCACATTCTCCAAGGGCAGCATTTTGTACAAATTGGGAGTACCTTGATTATCTACAAGGATGACAAATAAGCAAAATGATACCTGAATTGTCAATGATTTAGAGTCTCTTAAAGATCCACCTGCTGTTTTACATAATGGTTTTCCTTTTATTTTACATTCTTTTGAAAATGTTTTCAAGGTGTCTTCAAATTCAGCAAAATCTAAATACTATAAAAAAAGGAGAACATAATCAAACAACTCAATAACAAAAACAAATAATACAATTTTTAAAATGGGCAAAGGACCTGAACAGACATTTCTCCAAAACATAAAAAAAAAGGCCAACAGATACATGAAAAAGTGCTCAACCTCACTAATCATCAGGGAAATGCAAATCAAAACCACAATGAGATACCACCTCACACCTGTTAAAATAAAATTATTATCAAAACTATGAAAGGTAACAAGTGTTGGCAGGGATGTGAAGGAAAGGGAACCCTTGTGCACTGTTGCTGGGAATATAATTGGTATAGTCATTAGGGAAAACTGTATGGAAGTTTCTCAGAAAATAAATGTAGAACTACCATGATCCAGCAATCTCACTTCTGGGTATATATGGAAAGAAAATAAAATCAGTATTTCAAGGAGATTTCTGCACCCCCAAGTTCACTGCAGCATTATTCACAGTAGTCAAGATATGGAATCAACCTAAATGTCTGACAGATGAATGGATGAAGAAAATGTAGTATATATCTATGGTGGAATATTAGTCAGCCTTTAAAACCAAGGAAACTCTGCCATTTGTGACAACATGGATGGAGCTGGAGGACATATGTTAAGTGAAAAGCCAGACACAGACAAATTCCTCATGATCTCACTTTCACGTGGAATCTGAAATAGTCAACCTCATAGAACCAGAGAATACAATGGTGGTTGCCGGGGGTAGGGGATGGGGAAAATAGGGAGTTGTTGGTCAAAGGGTACAAAGTTTCAGTTACGCAAGATGAGTAAGTTCTGGGGATCTAATGTATGGCATGGTGACTATAGTTAACTATGCCATACTGCATATGTGAAATTTGCTAAGAGAGTAGATTTTAAGTGTTCTCATCACCAAAAAAGGGAGGGGGGGGAAGGAAGCTGTATGAGGTGATAGAATATATTAATTAGCTTAATCGTGGTGAACATTTCTAATTGTATAATGTATTCTAATTCACAATGTATACATATTCAAAACATCAAGTTCTACACTTTATATACATGTATTTTTGTCAATTATACTTCAATAAGGAATAAAAAGCAGAAATTTATATGTATTTCTCTGTTTTACCGTCAATAAGTAACTGTCTTTGATGTACTTGTACCAGCTCAACATTATCACCAATTTACAATGTTGTCAGTGAACTATCAGTGAACTGGCATCTCTGGGAGAAGTTAATTTGGGATCCAGCTTAGAATTTACTTATCAATATACACTCTAAACGCCTAGAAGGGTAGTATCATAGAATGTTTATTTTCAGAAAATCAAGTTGTTTTCAGAAGGAAAATGTGAGCTACATGATTCATTATAATTATCAGTAGAAAAACAGGCAGGTTGCCTCAGGCCTGGAATCCTTTGGGAGGCTAAGGCAGGAGGACCACTCGAGGCTAGGAGTTTAAGACCAACCTGACCAACATAGCAAGAACCCATCTCTACAAAAAAGGAAAAAAGAAATAAAAGAAAAGAAAAAGAAAATCATGTGTGCAGCAGTCTGAAAAAGGCAAAAGTGATGGGTAGGCCTAATGATTCTGGGTCTAGTAGGTCCCTGGGAATTTGTTACTTGAAAGAGGGAACTGGAAATAAAGCCTGTTGCTAAGAACAGGAGAAGAGAAGTCATTACAAGCTGGGCAGTATCATCAGTGACCTGCCTGCACAGCACTAATGGTCTCCATCCCTCTTGACACACATAATCTACTGTTGGTCTTCACACTCCTCTGCCCTACTTCTCACTTTATGTTGGTCATTTCTTTCTGTTCCCACCTTTTCTGTGGCTCTTTCCCTGGCCCAGGCCACAACATGCTATTGTGACAATTTTAAGAATTTATTCACCATTATGCCACCAAATTCCAAAGTGGGTGCCTCATCCTTGCTCTATGGCCATGCCTTTCCAGGCCTGAGGGGCAGTTTAATCACACACTAAAGCAGCAGCAACTATTTCCTTAGCACCAAAAAGCATGCGGCATGGGTCCTACTCTTCAAAAATTTCAGTATAGGAAAGCTAAATGTCCACTAATAAGCAGTGAGTTAAATAATTAGGATGCAGCCACTCAATGAGATACTAGACAGCACTCGAATGTCTAGGGTAGATCGTGGGAAGATGTTCATGCTACACTATTGTGAAAAGATAAAAGGCAAGCTACAGAACACTATGTAAGCTATCATCCTATTTTTGTGACACAAACTATAGGCATATGAATATATTTTTACTATTCATGGAAAAAAGTCTGAGAAGATAATACACTAAACCATTCAGAATGGCCATTGCAGGAGTGGAGCCAGGAAGTTCCCTTTTTCTATTTCTGTATCTTGAATCTCCTACCATGAGCATGTATTGTTTTTATAATTTTCTTCAAAGGAATTTTTAAAAGTAGCTTTAAGATTTGAATTTAGTTAGAGAAACAAAATATAAACATTTGGAAAATGATACAATGGAAAATAAATAGCTCCAATGTAATAAAAAACATTATAAGGCACTAAAGAATTTGCTGCATTTTAAAATACAAATTTTCAAGATCTCTTTTTCTGTGGCCTGTGTTTTTGTATAACATACCTACCTCTTTCACTAGTCCAAGTAATTCAGATTCATGAGCCAGAATATCCCCCATATTGAACCGTTACTGGTAATTCTCACAGCAAAAATCTCTACAAGGCAAAAACACAAGACAAAAGCTTTCATTTCAACCTCATGTGAAATCACAAAAGGGTGGCTGTGGTGAGAAGAATGGCCCCTAAAGATGTCCAGGCCCTAATCCCCAGAATCTATGACATACGAGGTTCTATGGCAAAGTGGAATTAAGGCTGCAGACGGCACTGAGGTTGCTAGCCAGCTGACCTGCAAGCAGGGAGGCGATCCGGATTACCCAGGTGGGCCCAAAGCAGTCACGGGGGAAAGAGGGAGGCAGGAGGGTCAGCGTCAGAGCGCTGAGATGTGAGACTCCCAGCTGCTGCAGGCTTTGAAGGTGAAGGAAGGGTCACGATCCAAGCAGGGTAGGCGGCCTCTAGATGCCAGAAAAAGCAAAGGAATGGATTGTCCCCTAGAGTGTCCAGAGTGATCAAGGCCTGTCGACACCTTGGTTTGAGCCCAGTTAGATCCATTGCAGACTTCTGACCTCCAGAACTGTAAGATAATAAATTTGTGTTGCTTTAAGTCACTAAGTTTGTGGCCATTTGTTACAGCAGCACTAGGAAATACAATGGCTGAGGTCAAAAGTAATTCTTTCTATTCTTCCTGCCAGCTCTCTTGCAAGGTGTACCCACAGCAGCCTTCCCTGTGTCCCAGCCCCAGGCTCTTGCCCTAGATTGGGAGTGGCTGTCCACAACTCCAGAGGATTCAAAGGACTGGGCGCTGTTACTAACTATGCTGTTCACCAGCACCTGATATGGGGTAAATCACTAAAACTCCGAGATGTTTTTCATTTATAAAATAAAATAGAAATTTATGAAATTTCTTCCAATTCTAATAATGTATGAGTCTGTAACCTTACATTTTTCTGCCAGTGCATTTGATATGAATTATTTGAACAAAGAGGATTAAATTTAATGGTTTCCCCCTATTTGTTCTCTGTCATTGTCTGTGGCTTCGTATCTTTCCCAAGGGACTGCAACCTGATCTATCTCTTTTCTCTCCACTTCCATCCAAGGTCTATACTTTTAACAAGTGATCTTTCCCTTCCTGCATGGGACCATCCCACGGTTCCACTACCCTCCAGAAGAGGCCAAACTCCGCAGGCCCAACTCCCAAAGCCACATGCAGTTTGGCTTCCTACACTCCCCCGTTTGATCTGTAGGCGTGGGCCTCCCTGGCAGTTCTGTGGATACTGCAGATCCAAAGCACATGCCTGCCTCGAGGACTCTGCACTTGCCATTCCCTCTGCCTCATTACCCTTCCTTCAGATACCCACACCTCATTCAGACCTCCCTCTGCTTGCCTATATCATCTCCTAGGAGATTTGCCCTAACCACCCTTTCCAAGAGGTCAGCCTGTCACTTCCTATCACTTTGTGCCATTTTATTGTTCTCAACAGAACTAACCACTACTTAACTGAAATATCCTTTCCCAGGCCAGGTGTGGTGGCTCACGCCTGTAATCCCAGCATTTTGACAGGTCGAGGTGGAAGGATCACTTCAGCCCAGGAGTTCAAGACCAGCTTGGGCAACATTGTGAGACCTCATCTCTACAAAATATTTTTAAAAAATTAGCCAGGCATGGCAGTGCACACCCACTCGGGAGGCTGAGGCAGGAGGATCACTTGAACCCAGCGTTAAAGGCTGCGGTAAGATATGATTGGGCTACTGTACTCCAGCCTGGGTGACAGAGTGAGATTCTGTCTCAAAAAACTACAGAATCCATCCTTTCCTGAATGTGTCTGCTCACTGTCAGTCTGTCCCCAGAGGACTGAGGAGAGGACTGACACAACCTGATGTCCACTTTTCAACGAGCACTGTGTCTGCTGTTTGCAAGGGACAGGGGGCAGTGGAAACAAGGGACCAACAAGAGGCACTGCACAGCCCACATTCACTGTGTGATGTGGAGCCGCAAGGAGTGTTCTGAGTCCAGACAGAAAGGGCAGAGGCGGCACGACTTGCCGGGGGATCGGATGTGGGATGCGAGGGGAAGAAGACGAGAAGGAAGAAGCCTGGGGTGTAAGCACGGGGTGAGCAGTATGCTGTTTGCTGAAATGGGGAAACCTGGAGAGGGACCAATTTAGAGGACAAATAAGAGCTCAGTTTTGGCTGCAAGTCTGAGATGCCTATTAGACATTCTGCTGGAGGTGCTAGAAGGGTCAGCGGACCCCTGAGTCTGGAGTTTAAGGGAGAAGCAGGAGCTAGAGACAGAGGGATGGCAGAGAATATGGGTACTGAGTAAAGAAACAGATTTAGTGATGAGAAGTGAAACAAGAAGCAAGGTCATCACTGCCAGAAGCAGCATGGTGACAGTCTGAAGACAAAGGAAGTTGGGAACCAAATTGCTATGGCAACATGGCAGGGTTTCTAGTATTAGAGTCCATTTAGGATCTCTGCAGTTTTGCAGTTTTTCTGCAGCCACTTTCAGCTGTCTGAATTAGGTTAACCAGCAGGGAAGTTTTTCTAGAAGAGAGGCAAAAGGGAAAACAAGTAGAGCAGTTATGGGACAGGGAAGCTAAGGGAAGCTAAGTTAAGGGAGGGGCAGGAGGCCTGGGAGAGGAGTGCAGGACAGCAAAGAAGTGCTGGGGTCAGAGACCTGCTGGGAAGGCACATTGAAGCGATCTTGCAAGATGGAAGAGAGTAGACAGCGTGGGAGGGATGCCTGAGGTCAAGATTTGGGAGGTGACACAATAATAAAAAGCCCATGACCACAGGAGTAGGTGGATATGCACAAAGGAAAGAGATGCCTAAAGTAGGGAGGGTGAAGAAACTGGAGTGGCCAAGATGTTGAAACCCCCAAAAGCAAAGTAGAAGAGGTGGAGAGGCAGACAGCACACCAGGTGCCAATGTCTCCATGGGAAACTTGGAGACTCGACCAGGGAGGTGGTTGCCTCAAGGTGGGCTGGCAAGAGGTACAGCCCCTGCCAGGTACTTCAAAAAAGCTGTGGGCTGGAAAGGAGGGGGTGGTGATCTGTAAGCAGCAATGAGGAACAGGGAGGACACCGCCCACCCACCACCTCCAGGGCTGCCAGATACATAAGGTGAGAGCAGAAAGACAGCCGCTGGTTGAGGACACACCTCTCTCCCGCCTTGCTCTGGACCTGGTCCCACCCTGGGCCTTCTCCTTGTCCCCATCCATTGCCTCCCCTTATTATGACCCGCCAGCAGTGAACTCCCAGCCATTCCCCCATGCAACATCCATACAACATGCTGCTTCCCGAAGCTGAGCCTGCGGTTTGATGTGTGCCTCCCCCGCACATTCACGACTCACCACTCTAACCTAGGCCAGACTCCACCTCCTTTAAGAAGTCTTCCATGAACTACTCCTCCCCCCCATCAAGGTAATTCTTTCTCGTCTGGGGTACCTCTGTACCCTACTGCTGACTTCTGCTGTTACACTTACAACCCTGTTTACAGAGAGTTGTATGTAAATTGTGTAGCCCCAGAACCTAGCAGAGTGCCTGGTAGGCAAGAAAGGCGCTCAAGACATTTGATGAATAAATGAAGCCCAAGCGGAGGGAGCAGCATTTCAGAAGGCCCTGGAACAAGAAAACATCCTTGATTTTGAGAACTTAAGCTCCTTTCAGACTCAGAGCCTTTGCACATACTGTTCTCTCTGCCTGAAACACTTTCCCCCACTCTTTCTTCACCTAGTTAACCCTTGTACTTAACAAACGTCACTTCCTTAGAGATGTCCTCCATGACCAGTTTGAATAAGATTCTACTGTAATCAACTGTCAGTGAACATGAGCCACTTGTTGGGTATTCTACTGCTCTGACTTTGTTAGAAATTAGAGTTTTCTCTAAACCTGTATGTCACGATAGTTATCACTTATTGAGGGTTTATTGTATGCCAGGCAATGCACAAAACTCTTCACATCTAATCTTCATAGTAAACCTGAGAGATGAATACAATTTATATTCTCCTTTTACAGATGAGGCAAGTAAAGGTCAGAAAAGTTGACACGCTTCCAACAGCCACAGCTGGTAAAGGACAAAGTAGGAATTTAAATTCATGTTGATAGTAACCACTACACAGTATTACCCCAAAGTTTGGACCACCTGCATCAGAATCGCCTAGGATGCTTGCACAAAAGAAAATTCCTGCCTCCACCCTGGTCTTACTGAACACATGCCAGGCACCATGCCCAGAAATCTGCCTTTTTAAACAAGCTCCCCCCATGGCTTTTACACACACTCAAGTTCGAGAACCACTGTTCTACTTTATGCAGAAATCAGAGAAAACTTCAGCCACGCTTCGGGGTGGCAGTGGTAGCTTCTGAATTTCTATATAAGGGACACTCACAGGGCCTTCGAGCTGGTTGGATTATGGGATTTGTAGGGAAGCTGAATTTGCATAGCAATCATCCTGTTTTTCCTTAGATTAGGTGAAGTTTGTACTTAATCTGTGTGCCTGGGCAGGCGTGACAGCTGATGGAGATTATCAGGGGTGATCTAAAAGCCCAGACCACCCGCTAGGGCTGCCACTACCCAGTTGGGTGACCTGGAGGGCCCCCTCCAAGTCGGGCCCACTGCAGCCAAGATCAGGGACTACTTGCGGGAAGCAGATGGCCCCGTCCTTGGGACGTCCGGCGGCCGCCTCGGCCCTCGCGGGAGCAAGAGCCCTACACCGCAGGCGAGGAGTGGGGGCATCCGGCAGCGGTGCCGGCGCATCAGGGTTTTCTTCGAGGCGACGGGTCACAGAGCCCCGATCCTCCGGCCCCGCCGCTGCTCCTCCCCGCCCCGGGACGGCGGGCTCGGGGGCAGCCCCGCCGCGGGACACGATTACCTCCAGCTCGGCCGCCGCATCCGCTACCACCCCGCCGGACCGCCACCTCCGCAGCCGTCACCCGGGCAACCGCTGCCGCCAGTCCGGGATCACGTGGGGCGGCGCAGCCAATCGCGCAGGGCGCGGCCGGCGCAGAGCAGCCTGGGAGGGAAGGTCCGAGGCCCCCCAAACTTCCTGGCGGCGGAAGTGGGAGGTCACAGTTCGGGTCCTAGGTGCGGGTCAGCCGCTGGTCTCTCTCATTTTGTCCTCGTCTCCACGACTCCCTCCCATTCATTCATTCCCACAGACGTTGCGCCAGGCGCTGTGTCCCGCCATGGGAATGAACCAGACACAGAGCTCGTTGTCCTTTAGAGCAGCAGTCCTTAACCTTTTTGGTACTAGGGACCGTTTTGGTGAAAGACAAATTTTCCAGGGACGCGGGAGGGTGGATGGTTTCGGGATGATTCCAGCGCATTACATATATTGTGCACTTTATTTCTGTTATTATTACATTGTAATATAATGAAATCATTATGCAACTTATAGGTTGGACACCCTTGCCTTAGAGAAAACAACTGCGATGATGAGATTATTACAGTACAGTGTGCTGTTCTTGGAAAAAGAAACAGGCGTGGGCTTTCCCATTTTACAGGAGGGACCTGGGGGCCACCTTAGAACCAAAAATGACTCCCAAGATCTGCATTGAAGCTCTGGGCACCAGGGTTCCAGTCCCACTGCAGCAGTTTCCAGGGATTGTAGAGAAACTTTTTTTCGATGAGAAATTTGAGTTTTTAAAAATGAAACAGTAGCTCACATCCTCCCTCTCATTGCATCTGGAGCTTTTGAACTGAAGTTCACCAGCACCGAATGAGTGAGCACCTGCTAGTCGCTTCACATGGGATTGGAAGCTGGGAGGTGGACATAGATGCAGAAATTTTTCCCCTTGCCTGTCCTCCCCTTCTGGCATTGAGGCTCTGTGATGGGAGGCTCTGTGGTTCCACCTCTATGCTTCTACCTCCAGGCTTCTGAGAAAGTGGGGACTGTCAAGGCCAGAGACAGGGAAGAGAGCATGGAGAAGGTAGGGGAGCTGCCTTTGATGAACACCTAAGATGGGGTGTGACCGCCATCTCCCCAGCCCCTAGCCCTGCCAGTGCTCTCCTGAGAACTGTGATTGTCTTCAAAGAAAGGCTGTATTTAGTAGAGAGTCCTACTTTCTTTCCAGGTAATATGGATTAAAATTATATCTTCCTGGCCATAATAATATCAGGTAACATTGTCAACACAACTGTGTGCCAGGGGTTGCCAGACAAACAAAGGACATACAGTTAAATTTAAATATTAGACAACTTTTTAGTATAAGTTGATCCCAAATATTGGTATTGCTTTATTTTATTGTGTACATAGGACATTATATGGTTCTTTTTTTTTTTTTTTTTTTTTGAGACAGCGTCTCAACTCTGTCACCCAGGCTGGAGTGCCGTGGCAGTAGCCTACCTGACTGCAACCTCAAACTCCTGGGCTCAAGTGATCCTCCTGCCTCAGCCTACCTGGGACTATAGGCACACACCCCCATACCCAGTGAATTTTTTCTATTTTTAGTAGGAACAGGCTGGTCTTGAACTCCTGAGCTCAAGGAGTCCTCCTGCTTCAGCCTCCCAGAGTGTAGGATTACAGGCGTGAGCCACCGCACCCCGCCTGAAGTTCCAAGCTTCTAATCATGGCTTGGTCTTTTTAGTGACCAGCTTCCCATGCAGGAGCCCACCAAGAGTCACCTTACTAGAAGAAAAGACACTCCTGTCACCCAGAGGTTATACACTCTGTATCAGGAACCAGGGACAAAGACTAAATAGAACAAAAGATCCTCTTAGTACCCCTGTAGCTCAGGAGATTACAAGGGTTTTAGGAGCTTTGTGTCAGGAACTAGGGACAAAGACCCAAGGTATAAATTTTTAAAATTATTTCCCAGTATCATATAAACTAAAAGTGGTCTCAAGCATGGGATGATTTATTTTCTTATATTAAATCCAGAGGTATAGCTTCTTCCCAGCAGCTCAATCATCAAGGTTCTGGGTTGCTTTCTGAATTATATCATCTTTGTGACTGTGGGTGGTACTGGAACAAATAGATATGGCTTGACACAGTTAATATATATTCAAACTGCTATGATTCCTTAGTTATAATTTATTTTAAGACTTCTTTCAAATCCTGGAATGCTTGTGCGGTGTATAATACAAATATTAAATTGGAAAAATCTCTCAGTCAAACTCGGTGTATTTAACCCATTTGACATGTCCTGGTGTGAGTACAAAGAATGCTTTGTGACAACTGGGAAAATTGCTCAGGTCTGAAGCTCCCTCTGGGCAGTACCCAAGTTGGCTCTGCTGTGTGTATTCCATGAGTTCAGAGCAGTAAGTAAGCGCTGAACCAACTGCCTAAAGTTCCCCAATCTCAGGACTTGCCAAAGCATCCCACTCGCCCTAAATGTTGTCGTTTGATTGCTCCAGTTTTCCCAAAGTGGGACAAACACTGTCAGTGGGTCCAAGATGACTTTCTAAATTGTTTGTGAAATTTTCAAACATATGCAGAAATAGAGAATAGTTTAGTGAGTCCCCATAAACCCATCACTCAGATTCCAGTATTATCAAAATATTTTTCCTTGACTTCAAATTAAATCCTTAGAATATGCAGCAGGCATATTGCCTGGCTGCTGTCTCTGTTTTAGAGCAAAGAGCTGAGAACACAAGAAAAGTGAGAGAATTGAAAAACATCACTCCCCTGAGATGGATGAAAGGGTGAAGCCACCTAAATTAAACACGATAAGCCTGACGCACCCAGACAAACCAGCAGCCAGCTAGACTGGGCGCAGTTGCCTTCTCTGGAAGCTCCCTCGGGAGGGGGTTCAGACCGAAGGCATGTCTCGGAGCAAGCCCGACGCCTGGGTCTAATCAGCGGGTTGGAGGAGGAACATAACTAAAATCCCAGGCGTAAATCAAGAGATGAATTTCAAGACGCTGCTCAGGCAAAAAATATTTCCTTCCAGGAAAGTTGGTTTTGGATCACTGCTGAAAACTCAAGATATGTGGGGGGTTCAGATCCATCCGTCTTCTGGGCCCAGAGTCCACGTGGAGGTGGCAGAACTGGGTCTTGGTGTCTCCTGGGGGCTGCTGCTCCTGCACCGCTCGCGGGCTGTTTATACCACGAAGCTGAAGTGTTCTGGGAAGGAGAGCACAGGGCGGGAACATCCATCTCTCAAGGGGCAGCGAGCAGTAAAGCAGGCAACACTGAAAGCAGGGAGAGTGTGTGTCCTTCCTTGCCCTGTCCCAAGGCTGTGAGTCCCCTCGCTGTCCCAGTAGTTCTGTGGCCTGAATGAAGGTGACAAAAAGACCCAGGCCTTAAAATGGACATCTGGAAGAGCAAACCTGGATTCCCAGACACTTTCAAAGTGAGTGCAATTCAAGAGATTGTTGGGGCTGTCATCAGTGTTGTTTGTAGACACAGACACTTGATTTTTAGTGAGGACTATACTTATTTCTAAGTAAATTTAAAAATGCACATTGCAGGGCATGGGATGTGAGCCCAAAGGGGGGCATGTTAGTTTGAGCTGGAAGAAGAAATGCTAAAGTGATCACAACTGGGTGGTTCCCTAGCAGACTGACACACCTGAAAGACCACGAGGACTGAATTCTGATCTTTTTCTTTGCCCAAAAAATTCCTTTCTAAGGGGACCTGGTGAATCACACCTACAAATGATAAAATCTCAGTAAACAGGTTTTTATTATATGGTTTACTTCCTGACCTGATTCCAGTATAGCATCACATGAAGGATAGAAGACCCTTATGTTGATTCAAGCATTCCTATCCTCTGATTCCTGGTCTTTGAACAAAGCCTAACTCTTTCAGCCAACTGTCAACTAAAAAATCCCTAAATCCACCTATGAGTAATAAGCCTGCACTTTGAGATGTCCCACCTTTCCGGGCCAAACCAATGTATGCCTTCCATGTATTGATTTATGACTTTACCTGTCATTCCTGTCTCCCTGAAATGTATAAAACCAAACTGTAACCCAGCCACAGCAAGTCCACTTGCTCAAGGCTTCTTGGGTGTGGCATGGGCCATGATCCTCAAATTTGGCTCAGAATAAACCTCCTTAAATTATTTTAGAGTTTGTCTTCTTTTCCATTGACAGCCAGCAAGATGTGGCACACTCAGAACATCTTTATTCATGTGGCTGTCCTTCTCTTTTGGATGAGAAGTTGCAGAAGGGATTCCTGCAAGCCACAAAGCATTGCCTGGCCTCATTGTCATCTTAGCCTAAAGACTAGTCCTATTTGCTCCAAATTAACTTCACATTATGAAGATGATTGCTTTCACAGTGAGACCCACATAAAGAGGGTGTGTGTGTGTGTGTGTGAGAGAGAGACAGAGAGAGAGAGAGAGGTAACTTGGCTAATGAACTGTTGGTTAAGCTTAACAATAAAACGAATAATTCATAATAGAGTAATAGAACAGTGCACATATTAACCTTAAATCTCCGTGTTTGCCCTTCTCCCCCGCTATAATCAATATCCCATCTTACAAGGGTTAAGTTGGACTAAAAAAAAAGTAAAATAATGATGATTTGAAAAATTATTTAAAAAATCTATCTATCTATCTATCTATCTATCTATCTATCTATCTATCTATCTATCTATCTATCTATCTATCTCCCATGAGCTCAGCTGAACCAGAAGTCCAGGGTAAGATGCAGAACTCCCTTCTGCCTCTGGGTGATGCCTCTTGCTGCTGACAGGCATTCAAAGCCAAAAGAGAAACCATGGGCCTGGTGAGCGGCGCATTTGGGATTTTCACCACTGGCTCCCAAAGTGTGGTCCTCCGCCCGCCCGGCTGCAGCGGGATCACCGGAGAACTCGCTAGAAATGCAAATACTCAGCTAGCCCAGAGCTGGGTTGAGAATGAATGAAAAGCATTCATTGCATGAGAAACGCAGGGTGGGCTGAATGAGAAACACGGGGTGGGCCCAGCTGTCCGGGCCAGGCAGAGGAGGGTGTCTCCCCCGGCCCTGCCGCCGCCCCAGGATAAATCTCTCAGCGGGAGCAGCGGGCCGCGCCGCCGGGAAGCGCCGCAGACGCCGCGGGCCGGCCCCTTCCACCCCGGCCTGGCGCGGGCACCCGTCCCGCGCGGTCCCGGGCCTGGGTCGTCTCCGAGCCAAGGAGAAGGCAGGGGCCGGAGGGATCTGCACCCACCTCCTTGACACTGGGGAGGGGGCCGCAGGGTCCTCGGCCTGGGAAGGATCGCGGTCGCGGGGGGGTTCGCATAGAGTCCGGGGGGTGGGGCAGCCCCAGGCGCACCCCCACCTTCCCCGGCGGCCGTCACTTCCAGGAACCCGGACTCGGGCTCTGCCAGCCCAGCGGTCAGAACGCCAGAGCGCCCCAGAAATAACCCGCGCTCTGGAGCGGAGCGTCGGTCCCCACCGCGTGCTGGGCGCACTGTTTTCCTCCCGTCGCCGACCCCGGCCGCCCCTCCCAGCAGCCGGCTGGGCCCAGCCCCCGCCTCCCCCGCAGCCAGCCAGCTGTCTCCCTCCTGCCCCAGCTGCTTGCAAAGCACAGACCAGGGCAGCAGCGGCGTCTCTCGTCTCCTTCACGTAGGGACGGAAACCTGTCTCAAAACAGCTTAAGCCAAAAGGGACTTTCTTGGTTCCCAGCGCCTGGCCCGGGCAGGGCTGGAAGCAGGGCCCGCACGAGGCTGACCTCCACCGCTGCCTCCCCTCTCCCCCTCAGCCCTGCCTTCCGCCCTGCGTATTGGCACTGCCTGTCACTTCTGTCTGTGTGAAGTGTGAGTCCACGCAGAGCCAGAGGGGACCCACTGAGGCCCTCCAGGCTCCTCCCTGGAGTCTGGGGCCTCTGGAGGTCTGATTCTAGTCCTCACCCTGGCGGGGCTGCACCCTGTTCTTGACCTTCTAAACGCCTCTGCGTGCATTGCATAAAGCCTTCCCCGCCTGAGCACAGGCAAGGCAGGCTGCCCACTTCATTGCCAGGCAGAGTCTGGACCCCCCAGGGCAGAGGCAGCCTCCCTCCCAGGCCTCCCTGCCTGCCCAGGAGGTGGAGTTGGAGCACCGAGGAGGACAGGAGCACAAGTGGTTGAATGTCCAGCTCTGTGGCCCCTCGTCCCTCCCTCTGTGAGTCAGGGGACACTGTGAGCTTTGTTCTTCTCTGACCCCATGCTTGGACCAGGTCCTGGGAAGGGGTCGCAGGACTTTGGCGCGGAGGTGCTGCAGTGGGCAGAGAAGAGGGAGGAGATGCTCTGAGTTTGCAGGTTTCCTGGCTGGGCTGTGAGTGGTGAGGCCCAACCAACCAAGGTGGGGCTGGAAAGGTAATGGACTCCCCTGGTGTCAAGAGGAAGGAAATTTCTTTCATCACATCTCCTCTTAGGAAGAGCATTGGATTCTTTTGGAAGAAATACTTAGGTCCTTTGGGGTGAGCTGGGAGGGAGCAGAGTGAGGTCTCAGAATTGCCTTCCGAGGAGGCACTGAGGCCCTTTTGCTCTGAGCCCTGCGGTGGGTGAAGGTTGTGTGGGGGGGGGGGGACGGCAGGAGTGCCGGGGCTGGCCTGCAGTGTCCGGGAACAGAAGGGGATTTGGAGTTGGGGGAAGGGAGCCAGCAAGGTGGGGTGCTGCTCGGGGAAGGGATGAAGGTGCTGGCTCCGTCCGAGGGGGACTTGGGACCAGAAACGTCCAACAGAGGCAGGTTGTTTATGGTGGAATATGCAATATTGTGCCTCCATCTCCCTTCTCCTCTTTGCCGTAGTCATAGCACCGGCCATTTTTAGCGAGGCACATACCGCTGGGTGATTCAACTCCGGCCAAATGAAGGCAGGAATGGTGTTTCTGGGAAGTGTTCATCAGGGGTAGGGTTGTGCCTTTTTTTTTTTTTTTTTTTCTTTTTTGAGACAGAGTCTCACTCTGCTGCCCAGGCTAGAGTGCCGTGGCGTCAGCCTAGCTCACAGCAACCTCAAACTCCTGGCTCAAGCGATCCTCCTGCCTCAGCCTCCCGAGTAGCTGGGACTACAGGCATGTGCCACCACGCCTGGCTAATTTTTCTATATGTTTTTAGTTGGCCAATTAATTTCTTTCTATTTTTAGTAGAGACAGGGTCTCGCTCTTGCTCAGGCTGGTTTCCAACTCCTGACCTCAAGCAATCCGCCTGCCTTGGCCTCCCAGAGTGCTAGGATTACAGGCGTGAGCCACCGCGCCCGGCTGTGTTGTGCCCTTTTAGCATTCTTCTTCCTGTCTCCTTCCTGGTGGCTGGAATGCACATGTGCTGTTAGAGGCCCGGGGACCATGTTGGACCATGAGGTGACCTTGGGAAAGGGCCCCACGCATGGCAGCTGCATTAAACTGCTGCGGCTCCCGTAACGGGTTACCACCAACTGGGTGGCTGAAAACAACAGGAATTTATTCTCTCGCAGTGCAGCCCTGAAGTCCAAAATCCATCTGGCAGCAGGGCTGGTTCCTTCTGGAGGCTCCGAGGGAGGCTCTGTCCAGGCCTCTCTCCAGCCTCTGGCGGCTGCCGGGAGCCCCGGGTGTTCTTTGTAGCTGCGTTGTCCCACTGGCTGCCTCTGCCATCACGATCTTCCCTGTGACTGTGTCTCTGTGTGTCCTCTCCTCTTCTCATAAGGACACCGTTGGATTTAAGGCCCACCCTACTCCAGTGTGACCTCTTAACTAGTTACATCCACAAGGGTCCTATTTGTAGATAAGGCCACATTCTGAGCTCTGGATAGAAATGTATTCTGGCGGCCACCATACGGTCCGGTACAGGACCACAGGAGAGAGGGAGCATGGGTCCCTGACACTGAGGTGCACAGGCCACTAACGTAGCCACCTACAGGGCCATCTATACATTTCTCTGGGGGGGGTGTTCTTGGGTGGGGACACTTGAAGGGCAGCTGAGATCTCTTTATAGATGGGCACAGGGTGAGAAACAGAGAGCGGATGCCTGGGTGCCAGAGCCTGAGGAGGACGGGCAGCTGCCCGCCACCCACACCAGCCGAGCGCCCGCATCTGAGAGATCTGGGTGGAGAAGTGGAGCACTCAGTGTGTGGGTCCTAAGGGTGGAGCTTGGAGAGGGATCCTGGGACCTGGGAGTGGCTCAAGGACAGTGAGAGTGGTGACAATGCTGGAGTCTCTTAGCTCTGTCTCTGCTGCCTGCCCCAACACACACGGCCCCACAATGCTCTCTGCCCGTCTCCAGGCACAGCCTGACCACTGCACTTGACCTGGAGTAGGTCCCAGACCATCGTCCTAGGCCGGTCCTACTCCTGAGGGAGGGATGTAACTGGCAGCCTGACCCTACTGTCCCAAGGTCAAGGCAGGTGGTCCCAGAGGCAGTCCAGCAAGCACACACATCCCTGTCTCTCTGGTGGCCACGAGGCCGGGCTCAGGGCAGCATCCTCTGGGGGACCCAGCAGGGGACAGAGAGAGAAGGTGGCCCAGCTGACCGCCGGGACCCAGGCTTGCTTTGACACAGCCTGGACCTGGGCTTCCACACATAGCAGGGCTGGGCAGGAAGGTGCAGGATGACCTGGATGTCACCACCCTGCCCTGTGCCTCCATTTCCCCTTCAGCCTGCCCGAGAAGGTCCCTCCCTAGAGGAACAACCAAAATGCTGGGAACTAAACATTTTTGGTTCCAAAAACAATTGTGGAAGGAAAGGCAGGGCCAGCTTTTCCCAGCTCTCTCCCTGGAACCAGCCTAGAAGTGCAGAAGCGGGGCTGGGGACTGGAGAGAGTGGCCCTCACCCTCCAGGAAGGTGGGGGCACTACCCACTGCTGTATCTGGGAGTCCCCAGGGACAGGTGTAGCCTCTGGGTGTTGGTCTGGAGCCCAGAGCCCCTCGCATCTAAGCCGTCTGGGCCTTTGGATGGCCGGGTCTCAGGCCAGGCCGGCTGCGGCCTCACAGCCACCCAGGCAGGCCTTTCACCGTCTCCACCAGAGCACCAAACCCAGAGCACAGGTCTGGGGAAGGAGCCAAAACAAGCGATAGATTTCCCTTCCCACCCCCTAGAATGGCTCTGATCTGTCCTGACTCATATTTTCTAGAACCATCTGTCCCATGGAAATGTGAGTCCACCTGTCTAGAGGAAGTAACAGGGGCTGTGGACAGGCAATTTTCTTACATACACTTGAAAGTCTGGCTCACTCAGGATGGGACCTGGGCCTGCCTCCAATTGGGGGCTCCCTAGGGCAGGGGGGTGCAGTGGAGCCCAAACCCTGGGCTGGGGCCCCTCTCCTGGGAGGCTGCTCAGCCCCAGCTCTCCACAGCCTTCTGCCTACTCCGCTCCGGGAAGCTGTGCGAACCACTGGCGGGAGCACATTCATTTTCTCTGCCTGCTGAGCCCTCACACGGCCTTATAGGGTAGAGGCTGAGAAGCGCAGCAGCGGCAGAGGCCAGGGCCGGGCTGCAGGGAAGAGCCTCGGTGGGCTCCCGGGTGAGAGTGCCTGGCTGGCCTGGGCAGTGGGTCCCCACCCGCCCAGACTCCCCTTTTAACAACACGCTTTGTAATGTCCTCTTTCCCATCCTAAAATGAAATGCCCAGATATTTATCCACATGATTTAAAAAAGATCACTACAATGCCCTGTAAAGAAAGAAGAAATAAAAGGAAAGCAATTTATTTCAAAATACATGTGCATATCCATGTATAAGCGCTTAGGCTGACCATACAGGAGGCATGAAAGGAGGTCTGATGCGGTGGCCTGAGGCAGAGCCGGGACGCAGGCTGGCACAGCAGTGCAGTGGCGGCGGCGACTCAGCACGTGCCGTGTGGCCATCTTCGATGTGAGTTTTCCATGTGAGGAACAGTCCTTGGTAAAGTTCTGAGCAAACCGCAGGTCAGTCTCACCCCACCCACCACCGCAGGACTCCAGCCTGGCCGGCCCCCTCCAGGAACACTGGTGGGCTCCCCAGTCGCCGTGGAAACCACAGGTGCCCCGACGACATGCAGGTGCACCCCAAGGGGCATTCAGTGCTAGTTCTGCTGCTAGCATGCTTTTGGCTTGTTCTGTCTGAAAAGTTTAGAACGAACAGGCCAACCTGAGGTTGCCGATGACAAGATCCACCTGAGGACCTATTGTTCGCTGACCTGCTGTTGCTGATAACCATTGACCAAGTCCTGGTGACTCGCACAAAGCCTGCTCTCTGCTGTACCCGCTCTGCCCTTCCCTTTAGAGGTGGCTCCGAGAACAGACAGAGAGGATGGTCTTGGGGCCCAGGCTGCGCCATCGCAGGCTGGGGCACTTGAATACACCAGCTTCCTTTCCTGGCACTTGCCTCTCACCTGCACCAGGTAACACCAGGGCAGTTGTCCCCGCCCCCAAACCACCGCTCCAGGCTGTGGCAGTGGGGGGACACGGAAATGAATGGATCCAAGTCCGGCCCAGAAGCTAACACTCTGGGTGAGGCCAAACAGAGGTAGCTACGTCCACCATGGTCGCTCAGTGTGGAGAAGGCTCCAGCAAGACTCTCCCTTCTCTACCCCACGTCTTTATCATAGTGACCGGGTTGTGTTAATTTGGCAGAAAGCTCCTTTCAAATCCATGCCTTCTCGTGATCATTTCTGCCTCCTCCTTAGCTCAAGCCTCACCTCTCCAGCAGATGACAACCATGGCGTCCTCCACCGGGCTCCCCTCTTTCACGCCCCCCACCCCATTCAGTCACCCCATCTTCTCCTAGTAATCCCCTGCCTGCCTCTGTCCACGTTAGACTGCTTGGACTGCCACAACAGAATACCACAGACCCGCGCGTGGCTTCAACAACAGATGTTTATGGTCTCACAGTTCTGGAGGCTGGATCAAGGTGTCTGAGATCAAGGTGCCGGCAGGTTTCTTCTGAGGCCTCTGTTCTGTGAAAGGGCTGCACATGCAAAGCAAGCCCCAGATGTCGAAGGAGTTGAGAAACTAAAGAAGGAGGCAGACCAACCCGGTTTGTCAGTACAGGATGATATTAGGACTTACGGACAGAAGCGTGGTCCTGGGTAGCCACAAGACAGATAGATCTCTGCACCGGGACCCCTTCCCAGGCCCAGGGCGTATATCTGGGTGAAAAAGTGCACGTGCTCTGGGAGGAATGTGCAGGTCGCTGGGGGAAGGCTGCTGGCGTCACAGTGCATGACCACCAAGGGTTGTTTTAGAGGAAAGGTGAAGCTTAGAGTGAATAGAGTTTTCCTACATAAAGAGTAACACATCAACTAGACATTTTGTAGGTATTCCTGGACTTGGGGATAGTCAGGTGGATTAGCATTTAAAAATGAAGTCACTCTTGTCCCCGCAGCCTCTCTCCTTGGCTTGCAGGTGGCTGCCTTCTTACTCATGTAGCTGTCCCTTGGGCTGTGTGTTGTCTGTGTCCTAATCTGCTCTTAAGGCCACTAAGAAGACTGGATTAGGTTCCACACTAATGGCCTCATTTTTTAAATATTAATCACCTCTTTAAAGGCCCTAATCCAAATACAGTCACATTCTGAAGGTACTGGGGGTTAGGGCATCAGCTTCAACATATGAATTTTGTGGGGACACAATTCAGTCCAAACCCCTGCCCCCATGGCTCCTCTTGAAGTGCTCTTTTGGTATCAAGTGCCAGAAATTCAGCTCCAAGCAGCTTGTGTTTTGTTAAGCAAAGAAGAGAAGGTGCTGCTCGTGGAACTTCACAGCGCGGAGGTAGAGGCACAGCTGGACTCAAGGGTCGAAAGGTCCCATTTGGATCGTCCTCTTAGCTTCCTCTGGGTTGGCGCCATATTCGGGTTCCACTTGGTAGAAGGAGCAGCTTTAGGCTAGGTCAGCAGTGGAAGAGAGAGAGAATGGTTCCCAACAGCTGGAGTGGATGTCCCAGAATTGGGTCTTGTTAGCTCTGATTGGCCGGGCGTGGTCCTGTGCTCTTCCCTGAACCAATCACTGTCACCTGGTGGATGGAATGTGCAGACTGGCATCTGAGCTGAGCTAGGAGGTGGCCAGTTCCCTTACGAAATGAAGGTTCAGATACCAGTTAGCAGAAGGAATGCCAGGGGTTGCTGGGCTGCAATCGTTGTAGAAGTTCACTATTGAATAAGAGAATGAATGAATGAGTGAATGAGGCTCTTTGATTATCCCTAATGTGGTACTAAAGTATGAGCCAAGTCCAGTCTGCAGAAGGAATGCTCCGCACTTAGGTTTGGTCAGTTGGCTTTGCCCTCCCGTGCAATCCTTCTGCACGTCCTTTATCCTTGTCCGCGTCAGCTCCGCTGCCAGATGGGACTTTGTCTTGAACCAGTGGCTTGAGAATGTTGAGGGACTGAGCACAGATTATGTGTCCCTGTTCAGGACTGGATTAAGACATTTAACTAAGCACTAAAAAGGTTATGGTGCCTCTAACAACTTGTTCCTTTTTCCCATGAAGATTATTTCAGTTACATACATAATTGTTGATCAAATTCTTTTAAGAAAAATGAAATTATTTTTTCCTAGGCTTCTGGTATGCTGAGTTTAGCACGTGCTTTGCCTTCACGCGTGAAATCCAGCCTTGGATTTCCTTGTTGTCCTTGCTTGACCCTTGAGCGTGGCCCTCTCGCCATCCCCCTGCTGCCGGCTGACGTGTTGCTGGGGTGACCGAACAGAGCTCCCCTTGGAGCACTGAACAGAGGAGAGGCTGAGGCACCTGTGGCCAGGCCACGATGTGGTGGGGGGCAGGGGGCTGGGGGGAATTGAGGTCTGGAGGTTCCAGGATGAGGACTGACTCCATGGCAGCCACTCACAGGCCCTGTTTGCTTGGGCCATTTGATGTGTGTCAATTTTCCTGGGTTGCTGCACGGTGCAAAGCGAGTCTCAGGCTGGGGCACTTCCCAGGAGAACTGGTGCATTGTGGCTGCCCAGCTCCACGGTATGCCAAGCCCAGGGCTCCAGGAAAGAGAGCAAGAATCATCTCCAAAAATGGGCTTCTGCTAGAGTTATACAACCCAGAGGCCTTTTTGTGTAGTACCAAGTGTACTCCAGAGAGAACTGTCCAACGGGCCACCGTAGGACAGCACTCCCACCTGCCGCCTCCGGGTCCATCCATTTCGTTTCTGGGGACTCTCCTTTGGGAAGTACAATCTATCTCTGGGGATGTCCATACTCTGTCTGCTGTGAGGTCCTGCCGTGTCCCTTGGAGACGTCTGTCCTCTGGGGAGGGCTTTGCTGATGTCTGCTCTCATCCGTGCTGTGGAGGCGTCCCATGGCCCTTCCTATTCCCGTGTCCACACTCCACCTCCATGGCGACGGGACTCAGGTCTTGGGGAAGCAGCTTAGCACAGGACAGTGTTTCTCAGTGTGGTGGTCTCAGGACCATCTGTCGCAGAATCATCCGAGCCCTACTAAATGTGCTGCGTTCCTTAGCTGGGCTCCAATCTGCTGAATCACTGCCACAGTGGCTAAGAAATAAAACCAAAAAGAAACAGGTTTTGTAGTTAGACCTGGGTTTGAATTCCAGTCCCATAACTTGCTATGTACCCTTAACATCCCTGAGCCTCACTTTATCTGTACTATTTATCTCACCATGGCATTGTGAAGTTCAAAGACATTCATGTGAATAAAGTGCTGAACACAGCGCCTAGCACACAGCAGTTAAATACATTTTTGCCACTGTCATCCACCGGTCTGTCAATCCAGTAACTGTTTACCGAGTGTTACAATCAACCCTAGGAATACAGCAGCCATCAAAAACAAACTCCCTGGGCTGGGCACAGTTGCCCTTTGTAATCCTAGCAGTTTGGGAGGCTGAGGCGGGAGGATCGTTTGAGGCCAGGAGTTCAAGAACAATCTGAGCAACATAGCGAGACCTCCTTTCTACAAAAATAGAAAAATCAGCTGGATGTAGTAGTGTGCACCTGTAGTCCCAGCTACTCAGGAGGCCGAGGCAGGAGGATCACTTGGGCCCAGGAGTTTGATCCCAGCATGGGCAATAGGCCCTTTTCTACAAAATTGTTTTTAAAATTAGCTGGGTACGGTAGCGTATGCCTGTAGTCCCAGCTACTCAGGAGGCTGAGGCAAGAGGATTGCTTAAGGCCAGGAGTTTGAGGTTGCTGTGAGCTGTGATGATGCCACTGCACTCCAGCTCATGCAACAGAGTAAGACCTTATTTCTAAAAACAAACAAACAAAAAAACTCCTTGTCCTCCTGAAGTTTATGTGATAACCAGGGGAGACAGACAATAAATAAACACATAATATGCCAGGTGGTTGTAAGTGCCATGCAGAAAAATCAATCAGGCTCAAGGGCATCACCAGACTCCTCAAAGCTAAAGCAATTACTTAATCTGAAGGCACCATGACAGGGACTTGACATGACAGGGACCTTGGGGCTTGCCCTTAAGGATCTTATTCATAGACAGGCTGGGAAACAAAAATGGTATTCACACAGGAATCCACAGGACAACTAATTGCCTTGCAAACGATGTGTCATACAGGCCTGAGAGCTACTTAGATTACTGGGGACTGACAGTGAGGTGTAAATGAATTCCCCCAGGAAGCTTCTAATCCAAAGAGAAAGAAAAGAATTTGCTTAGGGACACATTCCCCACCCTTATTTTAGAGATACTAGTTCATACTTAACGTAAGCAAAAAGCTTGTAATCTCTGAAATTTTTGGGACATGAATCAGAGCTTCTGAGAGAAGATGATGGCACAAGAGTCCATCCTGGCCGCTCAGACCAGGTCATGGGAATATGACTTGAGGGGAAGGAAGCTCTTGATCTCTGTCCAACTCTTTGCCAAGTTCCTGCTCTGTGTAATGTCTAAGATCTATAATGGTAATTATCTCCAAGATACAATTTCACTATAAATAAATAACTCACTGATTTGGAAAACATTGAGTGCACGTAACAAAGGAGCTGCCCAGACCCCAGCAGACAGATGGGAAACGCGCATCACCCGAGGGCTACGTCAGAAGGGCAGGGCAGCTGGCTGCAGCGCTTGTGTCGCTAGCCCCTTCCTGAGCGGGCACACCGACTCAGGAGTACGGAGGAAGATGCAAACTTGGAGCAGAGTCTGTACATGGATACTTGAGGGTCTGCCGATCTTTGGATCAAACAATCCCAGAAAATAAAGAGGCCAGAAACCAGCTTAATGGAAATATGAACTGGAAACAAAACTGTAAAAACGGTTTTGTTTTTTTTGAGACAGAGTCTCACTCTGTTGCCCAGGCTAGAGTGAGTGCCATGGCGTCAGCCTAGCTCACAGCAACCTCAAACTCCTGGGCTCAAGCAATCCTGCTGCCTCGGCCTCCCGAGTAGCTGGGACTACAGGCATGCGCCACCATGCCCGGCTAATTTTTTCTATATATATTAGTTGGCCAGTTAATTTCTATTTACAGTAGAGACGAGGGTCTCGCTCTTGTTCAGGCTGGTTTCCAACTCCTGACCTCAAGCAATCTACCCGCCTTGGCCTCCCAGAGTGCTAGGATTACAGGTGTGAGCCACCGTGCCTGGCCGATATATGTCATTCTTACCAGTGTCTACCACATAGCAAGTGTGATCATAATCATTGTTTAATCTCTGTAACAACCTTGAGGTGAGCATTATTTCCTTTGTACAAACGAGGACATGACCAAGGGACGGGATCAGGATCTCAACCTAAGTCTGAGGCCGCATGCATGGTCTTCCCATTATGTGGTTTGGCTCGGAAGGGCCCTTACAGCTTTAACTGTAAAGAATGAGAGGGCGGAAGAAAACTTTAAACACTAACTAGAAACAGCAAAATGCACTTGCTAAGGAAGTGGAAGTGTTGTTTCATTTATGATGCATATACAAATGTTGCGGAGTTGTCTGGGACAAAGCCACAAAATCTTTGCCCAGGTTCATTTCTTACCATCGTCTCATGCCTGTTAGATCCATGAGAGGCCATCTTGCCTGTGCACACAAAGAAAGGCCAGGGTTCTTCAAGAGCAAAATCAACTGAAAATTAGTCCTTGGCAGGAGCAGTCACTGCAGGAGGAGAGTGAGAAGACATTTAGGCCCTTGGGGAAGGCAGCTTTGAGACAGACGAAACCACCTTCGTCCGTGCTCATGGACTCTGTCTCAAACTGCTGTGTTAATGCTCAGTTGTAGCTCCCAGTTACCATTCTCAAGAACAGTCAGTCAGTGAATACGGGATCATAGACTATGTGCTAGGGTTTAAGATGATGAGCAAGACACATGTAGGGGAAGGTAGGCAAGTTAACTAGGCAGTGAATGATAATATGGCATGAGGACAATAAGGGGCAATATTGGGTCCTGGGGAAGCTCAGAGAACCTAGCCTTCCTGGGAGGGACCAAGGAGGGCTTCTTGGAGGAGGTCTCAAAGAACTGAGACCTAAATGACTAGATTTAAAAATGGCAGGAGTCAAAACAGGAGGATATTTCCAGCAGAGGGAACAATATGTGCAAAGGCTAGGTGACAGGAACCTGGGTCTTTGGAGGAAGTGAAAACAGTTCTGAGTGTGAGGTGGAAGAGTTGAGAGATAGGAGGCTGGAGAGGCAAGCGACAGCTAAAGCCTTGGGCAGCCATGTGCACATATTAAAGAATTTGGGGCCCTTCCCCCTTCTGCCATGGGATGACACAGCAAGGAGACCCTCACTAGATGCTGATTCCTCAATCGTGGACTTCCCAGCCTCCAGAACTAGACAGGGGTCTCATTGTGTTGTCCAGGCTGGTCTCAAACTCTTGAAATAGTGATCCTCCTGCATCAGCCTCCCCACCTGAGTAGCTGGGAGTACAGGCATGTACCACCACACCCAGCTTGGAGTACCCATTTTTGAACTTCTTCATTAAGTTCATGTATATAGTAAAATCACGTATGTAGTGTTTTGAGTCTGATTTCTTTCAGCATAATTTTGAGGTTCATCCTTGTGTATCAGTTCCTTTTTATTGCTGAGTTGTATTCCACTGTGTGACTGTGACACAGTTTGTATGACAGTTTGTTTATCCATTCTCCTGTTGATGGACACTTGGGCTTGTTCCAGTTGAGGGCTATGAATGGTTGCAAAAAAGTTTGGGGCTTTATTCAGCAACAAGGAAGCACTGAAAGCTTTTAAGCAGATTAACATGATTTGCATTTTAGAAAGATCAATTTGGGAAATGGATTAGAGTGGGACAAGTCTGGAGGCAGAGACCAGTTAAGTGCTTCAGCTGAAGGTAGCGAGTAGTGGGGAAGGAAAGAATGAATGAACTGGAGATATTTGAGAAACCACACATTGAGTCAAGGTGAAGCCTGGTTTTTCAGTGCGGGCAGCCAGATGGAGGTCTTGGCATTAGCCCGAAATAGCAGATAAATACGGAGGGTGCTTGGATGTATTGTTTTAAGTGCCTGTGAGGCAGCCCAAAAGGGGATGGCAGTGAGAGTGGTTGGATGTGCACGTCAGGAGCTCATAGGAAAGGGATGGGAGGGATGTGGACTTTGGAGTCATTTGTACAAAGATGGTGAATGAAGGTGTGTCATGGATTAGGTTGCTTGAAGAATGTGTAGAGAGAAGGACCAAAAACCAAATTCTTAAGAAGGCCAGCAGTTAAAGAGCACAGAGAGAGTGGGACTGACCAAAGAACTAGAGTCCCTGCACAAATAGATGCTCAAATAAGCATGAATACTGTCAATTTGTTAAATGAAGGGGAGGTCAGAGACAGGGAGGAAAATCAGAACATATCTAAGAGGACAAGGAGAGTATTTTTAAAAGGCAGGAGTCAGCAGAGTCATTTACCTGCAGAGCAGCAGGAAAAAGATTGGATACTAGGATTAAGGCCAATTTAAGAAATCAAACCATTTACTAATACTTCCACCTCGTTTTAATGTTGGACATCTCACTTGCCTTCAATTCTGAAACAGTGTGCCACACTATCAGCTGGTAGTAATTGCTGCCAATTTCCCTTCTGTTTCTTCCACTGATCGCATAAACTCTAGCTCCTGTCCTGCATTCACGTATGACTATTTCATCCTGTTATTTTCACTCTAGATTTCCTTGCTCCTTGGTTAGGTCTCAGAGCTATGCATTTCCCATAAAAACTAGGTGGAAAAATCCACCAGGAAAGCAGATACAGTCTCATAATCTGATCCATGCGACCATTTTACTTCATAGCTTGCAATGTTTAAAGCTATAACCTTCTCAAGACTTAAAATTTTGAATTGCACTAACAGGAACTAGTGCTGACTGCTCCCTGAAATTCAATCTATTATTTTGTAAAGAAAGTAATAACTTTGGCAGGAGGCCAGTGAATGTACCACCCCTCCCAGACTTCTCAATTTTAGACAGTGACATCATTGAGAGACTTCTGTTTTTTAAACATTTCATATATTAAAGGAAATGTAAGAGATAACTCTGAAATGCAAGCAATGTTACGAGCTTGAACAGGAAGGACATAGCTAATGAGGCTAGGAAATGAGATAATTTCTTTTATAGAATCATCTGATATTCAGGAAACTAGGAATTTACAAAGGAGAGGATACAATGAAATTAACCAGTGAGTGGAGCTATCCTTTGGGATCAGTAACCTTTAGACCTGGACCTAATAACAAGGCTGTGGTAGATGAATATCTTAGGGCTGATATAGGAGTTTTTTTTTCCTTTAATAACAGTTTTGTTTTTTTTTCTTCCAGACTCAGAAGACTATATACTAAATTAAGAAGTGAAAGAATGAAGGTAGGAGCAAAGTGCCATTCATGTATAATTTTGGAAGCTACCCACTTTATTATACATGATTGAAGATCAAATCACAAAACAACACAAAAGCTCTCAAATCTAGCTCTTATGTTCCAGTAAATCAGAAAGACCCATTTCATATAGCAGAACACAAGGAGATGGTGTAGTTGTCAGAAGATTAACCCTGCCTGTTTATCCTAAAACCAAAGTTTGTTTTTTAAAAAAGTGCTTTTTAGCTGTCTAAACATTTTCCTGGATCATTAAAGAGACTTCTTCAGTAAGGGATGGCATTCCACTCTCCGTTCCATTAAAAAAATTGCAGAGAATTCTTGGGGTAAGGAGCAAGATTTGATTTCCCCCCCAATATTCTCAAAATGGTCTACAATTTAAGAATAGCTGAACTTTTTCATCAATATGAAAGTCATGCATACTCATCCTAGCACATCAAGCATTTAGCTCTTTGAATTCAGTAATTTCATGATGGGCAGAGGATTAGATTCATTTATTAAAAATCCAGGTTGAAAAACAAAAGTCTTGTCCATCTGGAGATTTTAATATATTTATTTGAAAACCAAGTTCTGTGAAAGAGCACACTAAATAGTCATATATCTTCTTTTCAACCAAAGACTTGGAGACAAGGTTCTTCAGGTCAGCGCAAGGCAATGGTACACATGCATTGAATAGCAGGTCTCGGCATGAATTTCCTCATAGGCATTTCCAATATGAGCCTGGACAATCTTCTTCAGAAGAGCAAGTGAGATCCTGCGGAAGGGAATGGGGGTGGTGGTAGAAGCTAGAGTCATTCTTAATTGCAAAACATTCTCTCTCCCCTTCCCCCCTCTTTTTTTTTTTTATTACTAGCTATTGAAATCTAAAACTAGGCCTCAACCCTGCCTTTGCAGTCCTTATGCTACTTTGGGTTAAGACAGACTATAGCTGTCAAACCCCTTTTTTTTGTTGTTTTTTTTTTTTTTTTTTTTTTGAGACAGAGTCTCACTCTGTTGCCCAGGCTAGAGTGAGTGCCTGGCGTCAGCTAGCTACAGCAACTCAACTCCTGGGCTCAGGCGATCCTCCTGCCTCACCCTCCGAGTAGCTGGGACTACAGGCATGCCCACCATGCCCGCTAATTTTTTCTATATATATTAGTTGGCCAATTAATTCTTTCTATTGATAGTAGAGAGGTCTCGCTCTTGCTCAGGCTGGTTTCGAACTCCTGACCTCGAGCAATCTGCCCGCCTGGCCTCCAGAGTGCTAGGATTATAGGCACAGCCACCGAGCCCGGCCTTCAAACCCTTAATGGACTGAATATTTTATCCTTTAAAACCTAACAAGAATCCAGTTTCCAGCTAAAAGCCTCTAAGCCATTTTGTAGTAAACTGCCTTGAAAGCCATCACCCGGGGGGCTTCCTGTAAGGTATTAAAAAGGCTAAAAAGGACGCTAATAGGTGTCATTTCCATTCTCCAAGAGAGACTGAGTGATCATGACATCTATACTGTCATGTGCTAGTTGGGTAAAGCTTAGGAAACCATCAAGGCTGAAAGATAATTTCCTTTCTTTTCTTCTTTCTTTCTGTTTGAGATAATAGTCTTACTCTGTCGCTCTGGGTAGAGTGCAGTGGAATCATCATAGCTCACTGCAACCTCAAACTCCTGGGTTCAAGCAATCCTCCCAACTTAGCCTCCCAAGTAGCTGGGACTACAGGCGCACACCACCAGGCTCAGCTAATTTTTCCTATTTTTGGTAGAGACAGGGTCTCACCCTTGCTTAGGCTGGTCTTGAAGTCCTGGCTTCAACTGATCCTCCTGCCTTGGCCTCCCAAAGTGCTAGGATTATAGGCATGAGCCACAGCACCCGGCCAATAATTTTCAAAACTAAGTTTAGATAACATGGAAATTAGTATAAATCCCCTTTTCTTAAGGCCCAAACTAATAGTCTCCCTGAGGCATGAATATATTTTCCTACAAATGGCAGGGTTTCTACCTTAATATTTATCTGAGATTTCTGTAAAGTTTTCGTTAATTGCTAGTCAGTGTATAACACTCACCATGCTTGATTTGCAACTAGATTTTTAAATATAATACATGATACTGTCCTTATTTTGTTTAAAGCATAGAATAAATTCATAGCTGTCTGAAAATGTGTTCGTGCTAGGGTAGGATTAGGGAACCTTGATTATCGTTCACCTGAGCCTTCAATTATGTGATGACCATTCAAAAGAAATGAGGCAACTAAGAATGACAATTTAATGAATTATATTATTCTAATCTTTCACATCTAAAGACCCCTTTCAGTACTGTTAGAATACTGGCACAGTAATAATCCTTTTCAACTGGATGAAGCTTTGTGATGTGGTCTAAATGACCCCAAAGTCTCTATAAGCACCCTGACTTACACACACTGAATGAATGAATGTTAAGGCTTCTAGTGTCAAAAGTATTGCCAAAGGAGATAGGGAGAGAGAAAATTCGGTGAAAATTGTATATCTGTGCTACTCAAAAGTGTGATCAATGGGCCAGTGCCAGTCCAACTATTACTGATCCACAAGGCACTTACATCAGAATGTAAATCAACTCCATCACTAAGCAAACTATACAGTTCAGATGACTTTTTGGGGAAGACTCTGTGGATGAAAGAAGCATTGAGTCGCTTTACATTCTGAAGCAAGTTTCCGAGTATCTCCTTACAGAACTATAAAAACAGTTTACAGGCCAGCCACTTTGAACAGCATTGGTAGTGTATAGAGTTAAGGAAGAAAGAAAAAAGGCATTTCTTGTTACATACACAGAAAGAGCTAAAAATAGGGGGAAGTTTTAATGCTGTTTAAGTGTAAATAAGTACTAAGCACAAAACAAAGGAAAACAGTGAGACGATGTCCTTGTAACAAACATTTGTGAAGTACTGACGAAGAGGTTTCCCTTCATAATTTGGTTGCACATGTACCTCTGGTCCTTAATCGTCAATATACTCAAATGGTTCTGGGGGTTCTGGCTCTTGTTCCTCCTCCTCAATTTTAGGGCCGTGTGCTGCCACAGGTTCCA